TACTCAAAAGACATGATCATTAAGTTAATAGTACAAATAAATTAATAATACAAGTAATGATATCCAGATGTGCATATGGCTTTACTGCTAAAGAATGAAGTCCAGTGATCTTTGCTGCCAAGAAATAGAGACCCTTCCTGTTCTTCAGTTTGCAAAGGTGGGAAAAGGGAATGGACACAGGGGGGCAGCGTGATCCTATTCCACAGTGAGCTTGACGCTTTCTTTTTATTAACCTCTGAGAAAAATACCTTCACTTTGGGTAAGTCAGGTATATTCAGTCTAACTGTAAAAGTCTATTCTCATGGGCCCCCATTCACTTAACAGAGCTTAATTTTATACTTTTATAGCAATGCTTTTATAGCAATATTTTACACTTTTGTAGCAATGCTTTTATACTTTTATAGGCATTAGCAAGGAAGGACCTTTTGTCTCAGATGATTTGGTTTTGAATTCCTACTTTGCCATGTGGTATCACTAGCCATGTGGCATCATGACAGGTCAAACTCTCAGAGCCTCAGTTTCCTTATCTGTAAAGAGGGAATCAAATGTGATCCTGTATCTGGAAGCACACTGTCAATTCTGACATGCTCTAAAAATGTTAGATATTCCTCCAGCCAATGTTGTTATTACAATTGTTATTTCTTTTGAAGTCTCATTTGTTTCCTTTTTGGGGGAGAAGTTCATTGATGCCATTGATGATGTCACTGTCTGTGTAATGAACTCTTAAGAACACTGAGTTCTCTCAGATACTTCCCTTGACCTATAAGACTTGTTCAGCCTGTGAATATGTTTATTATTTCTAACCTAGACTCTTGCTGTACTGTCCTCTTAGTGTGCTGACATTTTCACTCTGGGTGGCAGTTTGGATTTCTAGAAAGTGACCACACCAGAGAGACTGTCTTGAGAAGCTTCATAGCCTTCTATTTATTTGTCTAACCCTGTTTCAGTCTATTTTTATTCCTGTAATTCTAAAGATAGGGTATGAGCTCGCTTTCAATTTTCTAGCCTCTTACTTTTATCTAAATTCTTGCTAAACACAGGAATAATAATTTGCAGCTATCATTTAGATGCAGTGACAAGATCTAGCCAAAAGCATATGAAAGGAAAGAGGGAAAAGGAAAGGCCTCCTGTGTAGAACATCATATCAGGAATCTAGGTGTTTGTTCCCAGTAGGAACATAATGATGTTTACAGAAGCCAGAGCAGTTCTGGGGCCACTGCTGGGCTGGTGTCAGAGAGCAATCCTGGTAATGGTAGGCAATGTCAGGTGCCATGCTGTGCATTATACATGGCTTTGTCATTCGTCTTCAGAGTAGTCTTAAAGGGCAGGTACAATGACAGTTTTTACATTTTCTTGAAGAGGAGACTGAAATTAAGTAGTTTACGTAATTTGCCCAAGATCACATAGTTGGTAAGTAGTGGAGCAGGGATTTGAACCCAACCTTGCCTGACCCTAGAATTTTAAATTTGTGGTGCACGTCTGTAATCCCAGCTACTCGGGAGGCTGAGGCAGGAGAATCACTTGAACCCGAGAGGCAGAGGTTGCAGTGAGCCAAGACTGAGCCATTTCGCTCCAGCCTGGGTGACAGGGCGAGATTCTGTCTCAAAAAAAAAAAAAAAAAAAAGGTTCTTAACTCTATACTATAGGCTTCAGGAGAAAGTTGTCTTTTGTTGCTAGTGATGGCTGGGGAAATTGGCACATCACTTTCCATTTGCAGGTTGTACTTCAGAGTTTCTGGATAGAGGCAGAGTCTGTTTTTGACCAGCAAAGGTGGGAGGATTATGCCCATCACAGGGAGCATTGTAAGAGGAGCATTGATGAAGAGGGCCAGGATGAGACTAGTAAATGAAGCAGAGAATTAATGTTAGAATTACACCCATTGGCTGAGCGCAGTGGCTCACGCCTGTAATCCCAGCACATGGGAGGCTGAGGCAGGTGGATCACTCGAGGTCAGGAGTTCGAGATCAGCCTGGCCAACATGGTGAAAGCCCGTCTCTACTAAAAGTACAAAAAATAGCCAGATGTGGTGGCAGGGTGCCTGTAATCCCAGCTACTTGGGAGGCTGAGGCAAGAGAATCGCTTGAACCCAGGAGGCGGAGGTTGCAGTGAGCCCAAACTGTGCCACTGCACTCCAACCTGGGCAACAAGAGCGAGACTCCATCTCAAAGAAAAAAAAAAAAAAAGGAATTACACCCATCTTCTCTCCTGTCTTCCTACCCTCTCTATCTCTTTATTCCTAGCAATTTACTCTTATGGAGCTTAATTTTTAACTATACATTTATTTGTATAATTGTTTAATACTTATAGACTATAAGCTCCAGGAAGGCATTGATTATATTTACCTTCTTCACTAGTATACATCCAGTGTCTATAAGTCTTACTACATAGGAGGTTCTCAATGAATGAAGTGTTTTTTGAATATATGAATGAAAATAAATTGAAAAATGAATGAAGGGTAAGAGTTGGAAAAGCTTTTAGAGAACATTTAGTCTCTCTTCTCCTTTTTTTAAATAGTATGGAAACTGAGTCTCAAAGAGGGTAACTAATGCTTATTGAGTGGCTAACGTAAGCTGGCACTTACGCTAGTTAACTTCCTTTAGTCCTCATGTTCATTCATTTAAGAAGCATTTATCAGGTACCCATTATGTCCTAAGCATTGTTCCACAGGTTTAGGGGCAGCATCCAGGATGCTGCACTTCACCACTCGTCTCTGAACATCATTGAAGTTCAATTTTAAAATGTCTTTCTTTAGTGATATTTCAAGGGGCTTGTTGAAGATGCTGACAGTGAGGCCCCTTTTCAGGTGTGATTGTCTTGGCTGGACCCTGTACTGATTGAACTGCTCTGAGTTCACACCTTTCTAGGGACAACCCTGCCAGCAGTAGAATAATATACAGAAAAGACAAAGTCACTGCTTTCATGGAGCCTTGTTGGAAGCAGATCATGAATAAATCCATGAACAAAAATATCAATTAGTGGTAAATCTTATGTCGAAAGTAAAATCAGGTGATGTGATGGGGAGTGTCTGGGAAGGAGTGCTCTTTTGGATTGGGTTGCCACCTTCTGATAAGATGATATTTAAACCAAGCCTGTTATTCAGTAGGAAGGAGCCAGCCCTGCAGAGACCCGGGGAGGGAACTTTACAGAGAGGAGAATGATAAGGCACAACCCTTATGTGGAGGTGAGCTTGGTGTGTTTGAGGGACAGTAAGAAGGGTAAAGGATGACAGGGAACGACGATCAAGAGGAGAGTGGCAATAAATGAATTAGGAGAGATTATTAGAAGCCTGATTATATAGAGTCTTGAAGTCTAGGGTAAGGTGCTTAGATTTTATTCTAATGCGATGAGAAGCCCATTGGAAGGTTTTAAGCAGAGAAAGGCACAGTCTGATGTATTTAAAACGTTGCAGTGTGCGGATAGTGGATTTGAGTGCAGGAGAATGGAGGAAGGGAGATCAGCTAAGGCCATGGCAGTAATGCAGGAGAGCATGCATGGTGGAAGTACATTGCTCAGGAGGGAACATCAATCCATTGTGGCTGGAGTGTGGCTGGGAGCGCACGAGTGGAAAGAAATGCTATTTATGATGAAAAATATAGAATAATTTCTTTTTGCACTTTGATTCTTTCCTCAGTAGAACCGAAACATTCGTATTAATGGAGTTAGTAGGAGGAAGAATTTAATGCATCATATTATGTGATGTAAGGTCAATTATGTTCTACAGTTGATGTACTGAAAACGAAGCAACCCTCATCAGAATTCTTCTCATAAGTAAAGTGGCAGTCACTAAGTAGCAAAACTGCCTCATTGGCTACAGTTACTTTTTTGATGGTCCTCTAGGCAGGGACCACTCTCAGTTCAGATCACTTCTGCGGCACCTGCTGTGTGGTCAAGGATGATTCAGATGGTAGCTTTCTGTCCTTCGGCTCAGTAATTGTTCATCCTATTAGACCCAAGATCTTTTGGTAATGAGTATTTTGTAGTATCCCTTTTATGATACTAAAAATATTTGTAGTTAATATAATCAACTTATACAAGTCACTGTAAAAAATTAACATAATCTGATTGTAATATAAAGTAGAAATGAAAGTGGTGTATGATAAAATGTATATGTTAATATGTAAGTGTCAAGCATAATGAAGCATTTAAATGGGACATGATTTTCAAAATATCAAACAGATCTGGTTAAAGATCCAAACAAAACAAAATACAATTGTTCCTTGATTTACACAGTACTTGGAAAAATTCAGTGTATTTCCAAATCATGCAACAAAAAAAAAAAAAAAAAAAAGCTTCGTCTTTACATGTAACATAGTTACATAATTATTTTCAGTTACATAGTTAGTTAAGTTCTAGGCTCAGATAATTATAAAATAGTTTTTAGCCTGCAAGAATGTTTGCAAGCTATTAGAAAGTCATTGGGGATGGGGGAGATTGTGTGATGTGCATGAGTGTCTTGAGCACTGCAGGACTCCCTCACACCTCTGGCTCCTGCCCCTGAAATATTTCCACAAATGTCCAAAATGTCCCTGGGATTGGTACCCCTGCTGAGAACCACAGCTGTAGCTGTCATCTGGGCCCTTGGCATCCATGCATCACAGAACACATTGAACCCCAGTCTAAACTGTAAACTTGTGTGAACAATGCTATGTTCGCCTTGTTCCTATTCTATCCCCGGTACCTGGCTTAAGGGTTATCATTAGTAAATATTTGTCGAAGGAAAAATTGGATGGATAGATGGAAAGATAGATTTTCCTATTTGTTCTGTTTTGTAGAACACCTCTTTAGTCTTTTTTTCTCTGTTATGACTTTGGAAGGCTTTAAAAAATTATCCAAAAGATAAAAAGTAATAGAAATTAGTCTCCTCTTGAATAACAGGTGCTAGGATCAATGTGTCTATTTTTACCTGAGTGCCATCTCTGCCATCATCTGCCTGAACTTTTATTTTGTTAAACCTGAAGGTGTAAATACAGCTATTTATACTTTTTCTCCTTTCTTTCTAGTGTGGGATGAGTTGGCCTACTATGAAGAAAACACACGGGATTTTCTTTTCCCAGAGCCCAAGCTAACACCTTCGCACCCTAGGAGGTGTAGGGAAGTGCTCATGAAGACGGCTCTAGGTTTTCCAGTAAGTGATTCATGTCCATCTGGGCTTCTATTAGGAGAGAAAGTCTTGGGACCTGAATGTTTTATTCCTGACAGGGTTTGATCTTTATTTTGGTTAGTACCCCTGCTGTTCTGTTTAGTGGCTCCGTTTAGATGCCCAACTCAAGGTACCAAATTATACTGATTTTCAGTATTGATCTGAGAGGTGGAAGTTTTATCTAATCAGGCTAAAATCTTTTCCATATTTACATTGTCACATAGTTATAAAAGCCTCCTTTTGTTGCAGATTAACAGAAAGATTTGTTTGTTTAGTCATAGCTATTATGACTAAATAGAGTAGCAATAGCAGTTATGTTCTTTTTCATTTATTTTGCACTTTCAATTTTTTCTCCCAACAATTCTCAAGTTAGCCAAGGCAGATATGGTCTCCATTTAACAGAGAGGAAACTGACAGAGGCTCACAAAGTGATATTACTGAAGAATCTTGAAGGATATAGCAGATATTCCACTGGTAATTTAATTCTTTGGGGGGCATTATCTGAACTCAAATTCAAGGTACACATTTTGATGTTGTCTTTGACAATTTCTATTCCCACGGCAACCCTGATGATTTTCTTGACTGTTACATCACTTGAATGATCTCCATTTAAAAGGCTATGCCTTTGAGAATTATAAGAAGTGTTTTGATACTCAGCTTTTCTCATATTGCCCCATGAATTACAATTACTATAATTTGTTATCGTTTCCTACTTTGTTGAGAGTACTGTGCAGAATATATTTAATATAACAGTCAGGACCTCTGTTTCTATGAAGCTTATCATGACAGAGCTTCTAATACTTCAAACAGCAAACATTCATTAAAGGTTGCCCTAATCAGAATTCCTAATAACCGTAACCCCAAGCCCTTCATTATCTTTGAGAGTTTGATGAATCTCACTGAAACTGTCTTTGTTTCTCCAAGATCTTCATGTATCATTTAAATCCATGGTACATGTGATAAGCTTGCCTTTAATTATTTTATTTTGAGTTATTGGGATATTGCTCTTCAGAAGCTAAAAGGGATAAAAAACTGATGAGAATCAGGTAGGGGATACTCTATTATTTTAACTTTGGTTTGCCTAGTTCTCTGCTAAATAAAAGGCATCTACAAACACTGAGCTGGTATCCAGTCAAGTATCAAGATAAAAAGAAGCAAACGTTCTTATATTTTCTTGATTGTTATCTCTGTTCAACTTTATGGTCATAAATAGGAAAAATAACCTATAGGAGGTTGTATTTATAGTTATTTATACATGCAGTTAGTCATTAGAGAATAGATTTTTTAAATATGTGGAAACACCTGCATGCATTAGAGGTAGAGTATTCTTACAATTAAGTTAATCAAATTATATTTTAAACAATTTGTGAATAGATAGAGGGACTCAATTTCTCTCAACCATTCTATAAAGCAAAATAAAACCAATTGCATAGTAGTGGTTTTTGGAGTGTGGGATCTGATCTTATTTGTTACTCAAAAAATTTTATTTTTGACTGGACTCAGAAGTAGAAGCTTGCAGAGAGGGCCGCCTGCATCTGTTGTCAATCTATTCCTGGCATTTTTCTTTGGTCTCCTTCATTCTTTTGGCCAAAAGTTTAGCATATTCTGCAGCCTCTCTCTTATTTCCCTTAGTAGTCTCTTTCGTCAGAGTAGTATGCCAGAGTTTGTGTTACAGGACATGTGGAGTAACGAGACACTGAATCTTGGGTACTTTGGTTCTAGGTTTCTTACCTTCTTTGTTTAAGGGCTTTATTACAATATATTGGCAGATATCGTCTCTTTTAGAGTGACTGAAAAGTGCAGATTCTGCTAGGTCTTTTGGGCCCCAGGCGATGAGGCCCCATAGTGTCAGTCAGTCCAGGAATATCCTTCTCTCCTTTTTTGATGATAACCAAGTTGAGAATGGTCAGATTGGTGACCACATTGTGACCCTGAACAGATTTGCACTTTCTTTCTCCAATTCTCCTTGGTCTATAACAGGAATGTCCCTTCTCAGCAGCAGGTGGACATAGCCATGGGTCGGGACACCCTGCTTTATGGGAAAAACTTGTTGGTCATTCCCACCGCCTATCTGGACCACATAACCCTCCCAGTCTTCACCCAGAGCATCTCAGTAGTAACTTCTGTGGCCATATGCTTCTCATAAAAAGTATGAAGTTTGCTTTCATCATCCACTTCAATGAATTTCTGACAGCCAGTGGCTGGAAAGGAAATATTCAGCTTCATCTTTTTGTTTGTTTGTTTGTTTTTGTTTTGATGTCTAACCAAGTAACTGTTACTTATTTATTTGTATACAATAAAAGCGTCATGAAAATTCTGTGTTGGAGATCACATCCATGTTGCTTTCACACATAAATAAGTATTATTCTGAATAGGAGAATATTAGTTATGTCCTGATTAATGCAATACATACTTCCTTTGTCAAGTATTTCCTCTGCTTTAATAGACAATTTCAGAAAGACATGTTAAGGGGGGAAAATCACACAATACTAAGGATCTGAGGGCCATAAACATCACATATGTTGAGTTTGCTTTTAGTTTTGTTTCCAGTAGCTCTTAACCAATGTCCCTGGCTGTAATCTACGTGCTAGACACATTGCAAATCTTCAAAAGTGTATAAGATGAAAGAGCAACACACTTAATTGTTATTATTATTTTTTGAGATGGAGTCTTGCTCTGTTGCCCAGGCTGGAGTACAGTGGAGTAATCTCGGCTCACTGCAACCTCCGCCTCTCAGGTTCAAGCGATTCTCCTGCCTCAGCTTCCCAAGTAGCTGGGATTACAGGCACTCACCACCACGCCTGACTGATTTTCGTGGAGACGAGGTTTCTCCATGTTGACCAGGCTGGTCTCGAACTCCTGACCTCAGGTGATTCTCCTGCCTCAACCTCCCAAAGTGCTGGGATTACAGACGTGAGCCACCGTGCGCAGCCTTCAGCTTCATCTTGAAGCAGCTGATTGCCCCCGAGATACCACAAAAAAGAGCTATCACTTTATTGATAGCTGATGTTTCAGCCTGGCCAACACGGTGAAACCTCGTCTCTACTAAAAATACAAAAATTAGCTGAGCGTGGTGGCGCATGCCTGTAATCCGAGCTACTGAGATGCTGAGGCAGGAGGCAGAGGTAGCAGTGAGCCAAGATCATGCCACTGCACTGCAGCCTGGGCGACAGAGTGAGACTCCATCTCAAAAAAAAAAAAAAAATAGCTGACGTTCACTGTGTGCTCACTGTATACCAAGCACTGTGTTGAGCTCACTATCCTGTTCTTTTCCCACTTTAAAGGAGAGGGAAGCTGGTGTAAAGAGTTTCAGAAATGCACTTAGGGTCACAGAACTGGTGAGTGATGGAGCAGGAATTCTCATGCTGGCCTGACTGGCTTCAGAGCCTGCGCTCTTACTCACTGAATGATGCTAATTTTCTCATATTTATTTCAGCCTACTATCTGATTTCTTTTCATTAATATTGTAGGAAGTAAGAATGAATATGTGAGACAAATTCACTTTATTTTCTCCTAATTTATCAACTTATTAACAATTAGATTTATTTCCTCCACTAGCATGTGACTTTTCTTTGTATTTCTGTATTTTGCTGTTTTATTTCACTTGATACTTTAACAGTATTTTTTATTTCCTGGTGAGGTCAAGAATTTTTTTTGTTTGCAATATTATCTAGTCTTATCTATTAGATAATAGATAATATTACTGTCTCATCTGTTAGATAATAGATAATAAAAGATGATAATACTGTCTCCCTGTGAGGCAATGAGAAGATTGCACAATTATCTGTTATTATGTTAGGTTAAGACTGACTTTGTAAAGTGAGCATAAAAAGCATTTAAAAATTATTTTTATTTGTTTATGTTATTATGTTATTTATTATGTTAAATCCTTTCATTAAAACTGTTATCAACATCATTCCATTGGTAAGGAGACTGGATGAGATATGGTCTCTAAATTTCAACTCTAAAGTAAAATGTTATGCTAAAAGCAGCACGGTATGAAAAAGAAAATACATTCTTCTTTATTGTCTGTAAGTCATGGCAAGGAGTGGAGGTCATATAAGGTGAACAAAAATGTGTTACAGAATGTGGGTTCCTTACCAGCAGGGGACTTCCTTCCTCCTCTCTGGGCAAAGTGGATCAGGAACTTGAAAATCTATTAGGCAGCTGCATGTACAGTGGTTTAGTATGGAATCAGATTGTCTGGGTTCATTCCCAGTTTTGTCATGAATGGCTATGAGACTTTGGGTAAGTTAATCTCTTTGTGCCTTAGTTTACTCATCTGTAAAATGGGACTGTAATGGTACATCCCTCACAGGATTATTGTGAGTGTTAGATGAGGTAATATACAGTGTTTAGCACAATACCTGGTATATAGTTAAGTGTACAATAAATCTAAGCTGTTATTATTTATTGTGCTGTCATCCAAGGGTTAATACTGTCTCCCTGTGAGGCAATGAGAAGACTGCACAAGACTGGCATGAGAGATGACTTGTTCAGGCTCAGGCCACTGGGCTGTGGAGGACCTGAGGCTTGGCACACATGTGAGGGTCATATGATTCTACCAGTAGCACTGTGGACACTGAAATTCTCCTTGCCTTCTTCTTCTTGTAAGCCATCTGGTTAGGAAAAGATGAGGCTGTACTAGTCATATGATTGTACATTCTTTATCAAATGTCCCTCTGCATTGTCTGACTCTGTGTAGCATCTTGGCCCCTGTGTTTATAAGCCTAGAAATGTTTTCTTGAGTTGTCTGTCCAAGCTTTGCACTCTTGTATGCATGCTGTGCATTCTACAGGCAATATAAAAAGGAGTTAAGGATATAGATTGTACCTGTGAGGACTTGTATAGACAGGATGGGTGCACAGGAATGAATGAATGCACAGGAAACAAGCTGACTAGCTGATTCACAAGGCCCCTGAAGAGATAGCATGAGGAAATGGAAAGAAGGTAGGTTTTGTAGTAGTTCAGCAGAGTTTCTTTTTTCTTTCTTTCTTTCTTTTTTTTTTTCTTGAGTCTCTCTCTGTCATCAGGCTGGAGTGCAGTGGCGCGATCTTGGCTCACTGCAACTTCCGTCTCCCGGGTTCAAGCGATTCTCCTGCCTCAGCCTCCTGAATAGCTGGGCTTACAGGCTCACGCCATCACACCCAGCTAATTTTTGTATTTTTAGTAGAGAATGGGTTTCACCATGTTGGCCAGGATGGTCTCGATCTCTTGATCTCGTGATCTGCCCGCCTTGGCCTCCCAAAGTGCTGGGATTACAGGCGTGAGCCACCGTGCCTGGCCAGTTCAGCAGAGTTTCAAATCCTGGCTCTACCCACCTGTGTGACATTGGGCATACTATTAAACCTCTCCAAGTCTGTTCCCTCCTGTGTAAAATGGGAATACAGTGGTCTACTACACAGGTTGTGTGAGGATTAGATGAGATCATGCCTCTGGAAACCCTTAACAGAAGCTGGCACATGTAATAAGCATGCAGTAGATGTTGGCTTCCTTTCTTTCGAGGGCTTCAGCTGGGGCAGACCCTGTTATGGAAGCACCTTGAGTATAAGTTGTATAAATGAAAATGAAATATTAGAGACTGGAGGGAGAGACTACTATGGGCTTACCTGGAGGAGTTAGAGTGAGATCAGACATTGAGAGATGGGTAAAATTTGGATGGAAAAGAAGAGAAGGAAGGTGCCCTCAGGACAAGAAGTAACTTGGCCAGGTGGTATTCTCTGGGGGAGAGTAGAGCAGAGAGGTCATGCAGAGGGGCCACTGGTGAGTCGATGGGGTCAGATGGAGACAGTGTAATTTAGTCAGATCCAGGTCCTGTCGCTGTGGTGCCATTTATAAGCCTTGTAAATTTGGGAAAATTGCCTTAATGTCTCGTTAGGCCTCATTTTTTGGGGAAAGCAGTTGTATTTTAAAAATTATTATACAATAAAATTGATGCTTTTTTGGTCTACAGTTCTATGAATTTTAGCATGTGTATAGATTTGTAAAACCACTACTACGATCGGGATATAGAACAATCCCATCACTCCTAAAATCCCCCTCATGTTACCCCTTTATAGGCACACCTTTCTGCTGACCCTAAGCACTAGTTTTTTCTCCATCACCATAGTTTTGTTTTTTTGAGAATGTTACATAAATGGAATCATACAGTCTGTAACCTTTTGAGACTGGCTTTTCTCACTTAGAAGAACGCTGTTGAGATCCATCCATGTAGTTGTGTGTGTCGTTCATTTGTTCCTTGTTATTACCGAGTAGTGTCCATTATGTAAATACACCACGGTTCATCTGTTCACCCATTAAGGGTGTTTGGATTGTTTCTAGTTTTTGCCCATTTTTCAGTTTTAACATCTGTAAAACAGGATGATTATAATAATTGTACCTACCCTATAGGATTATAAGAATTAAACAGGATAGGATATATATACACACACATATATATAAAACCCAGTATTTTAGACAGTATGGTACTGAGGACAAAAAATAGAAATATCAAATCAATGAAACAAAATTAATTTGGAATTAGGTCTAATGAATACAAATATCTGATATGAGATATAAAGCAAGTTTTTCAAAGCAGGTAGGTAGAGAGGAAGACTCTATACATTATACATACCTCTCTCTAGGTAATCGCATTCAATTCCATGGTGCGGTATTTTAAATAGAGTAGCTAACATCATGGACACTGGAGCTGGAATGCCTGGGTTCAATTAATAGCCATCATTACTAGATGGACATCTTACTTAAACTGTGTCTTAATTGAGGAGTACTATTATAAAACCTGCCTCATGGGGTTGTGTTAGGATTGGATGAGTTAATATATATGAATTACTTAGGCCTGGCTCTGATACATAATATATATTACATAAGTATTTAGCTATTCTTATTACATATATATTTTAGATAATGTGTGTGGATTATGCCAACCACACAGAAGAGCAGTTGGGTTCTTGTATGATTTTAAGTTAGAATGAGATGGCCAAAGAACTGTTTCTAGTAATTTTATTTGCTTTTCTTATGCTGTTTTATTTTTAGGGAATTGCTCCTAAAATAGAGTTTTCTACAAGGACAGCCATCAGAGAATGTGTGTTTCTGCACAGAAACAGATTTCTTGTAAGTACAATACAAATCTAGTGATAGAAATGACCGGATTTTTTTTTTTTTCCCTAATCTAAAGAATTTTTGCCCAAACTCAGTTTATCAAGTTTACATGAAACTAAACAAGTAGAAACCTGGAAAGTTTTTACTAGGTTTGAATTTCTATAATTCAAACTGTTTACTCAGCCAGTCATATTAGAGTATGTTTGGCACATATGTTTGGCAGCATGATGTAGCTGGAAGCAGGGTGATTCAGAAGCTAAAATTACAAATTTGATGTAAGTGAGCTAATTAGCTTTTGTTATTGTCGTTCTGTGACATTTACTTTTGATCTTATGAACAGCAGTTTCCATCTTTCTTTTTTAAAAGTTCAAAAATTTTAGGCTAGGCATGGTGGCTCATGCCTGTGATCCCAGCACTTTGGGAGGCCGAGGCGGATGGATCACCTGAGGTCAGGAGTTAGAGGACAGCCCAGGCAACATGGTGAAACCCCATCTCTACCAAAAATACAAAAGTTAGCTGGGCATAGTGGTGTATGCCTGTAATCCCAGCTACTTGGGAGGCTGAGGCATGCAAATCGCCTGAGCCTGGGAGGTCAAGGCTGCAGTAAGCCAAGATGGCTCTACTGCACTTCAGCCTGGGTGACAGAGTGAGACTCTGTCTCAAATAAAATAAATAAATAAAAAATAATAAAAATAAAATAAAAATTTAGAAATTTTATTTTTTCATGGATACATAATACCTGTATATATTTATGGAGTACATGAGATATTTTGATATAGGCATACAGTGTGTAATAATCACATCAAGGTAAATGGTGTATCTATCACCTAAAACATTTATCCTTTGAGTTACAAACAATCCAATTATATTCTTTTAGTTATTTTAAAATTTACAGTTAAATTACTATTGACTATAGTCACCCTGTTGTTCTATCAAATACTAGATCTTTTTTTTTTTTTACCCATTAACCATCTCCACTGCCCCTCAGCCCCCACAACCCTTCCCATCCTCTGGTAACCATCATTCTACTGTCTGTCTCCATGAGTTCAATTGTTTTAATTTTTAGCTCCCACAAATAAGTGAGAATATATGAAGTTTGTCTTTCTGTGCCTGGCTTATTTCACTTGATATAATGACCTTAACTTCATCCATGTTGTTGCAAGACAGGATCTCATTATTTTTTGTGGCTGAACAGTATTCCATCATGTGTATATAATATAATTTCTTTATCCATTCATATGTTGATGGACACTTAGGTTGATTCCAAATCTTGGCTATTGTGAATAGTGCTGCAGTAAACATGGGGCCATCTTTCTTTTGCTGAGGCTGATGCTCAGATTGTATTCATGGTCCATCTTTGGTAAACGTGAAGTGTCTTAGGGCATCCATGTGTACTACCTCAATTTTACTCTCTTCTTCAGTCCTAGTGTCCCCCTCACCCCAATTTCTTTCTGTTTTGCTTTTACCTTATTGTATATAATGTTGTTGCCACTTAAAATCTTTTCTAGAACAAGATAGAGAAGGAATAAAGGTAGTTTGTGAAGCTTCTCCAAATACTCTGGGACACGGTAGAGTAAAACCTGTATGTGAAACAAAATGCTTATCCCAGATCTTATGTATGGTCCTAGAAAAGACCTTGAAAATGTGGGCTGTGTGTTATGGGATTCTGAATGAGAAAGAAGGGCCAATAATCTCTGCAAATCTATCAAACCTCGCAGCATAATAACTCATATAATGGAAGACCAATGATTAATTTTAAGGAAGGCGTTATCTGCTTTTTAGTTTCACCTTATTTATCCTCTTTTCTCTCCAATTTATTTGTGATGTGTTCATAGCAATTTTTCAGTGTTTCTTTCTCTTCTGTTCTACCATTTTAATTCTGTTTTAACTTCCTAGGTCTTCCTTTCAGTGTTAACTTTTTAAACAAATAGTTTTATTGTTTTTTTTTTTTTTTGAACTCCTGGCCTCAAGAGATCCTCTGCTTCAGCCTCCCAAAGTGTTGGGATTACAGGCATGAGCCACCGCACTCAGTCTGTTCTTTTTTTTTTCTCTTAAAACAAAAGTATCACTTTATTTTGGAAAATTAGAAAACAAAGATAAATAAGCGAAAAGGACCCGACATTTTAAAAACCTGTCCCATTTTTGCCATTTAGAGATCAGCATTAATTTTTTTGTATATTCTGTACACACATACACACTTTTAAAAAAGATTGAGATCACACTGCATTGCATATTATTTTGTACCCTTCTTTTTTTTACTTAACTTATCATAAACATTTTCTCATGTCCTCAGGTATTCTTGTGCCAGACAATTTTTCATGGTTTCATAGTATTCCATTGTATGGAAGTACTGTAATCTGTTTGGCCATTCATTTTCCTTTTGTTGAGCACTTAACTGACATATCAGCCAGGGTCCAGTCAGGAAACCACACCAAACTTGTGATTGTAACAGAAAGATTTAATTTAAAAAAATGGCTAAACAGGGGTTGAAAGATTGAAAGGTAAAAGGGGAACACTGAAATGAAGAGTAACTGCAGGAAGCAGCTTCCACCCCTAGGGCTGGGGAAACAAAGGGAAGATGTTGGGTCAGCAAGAACACAGAAGCTTAAAGAAGAGACTGAGGCCGGGCGCGGTGGCTCAAGCCTGTAATCCCAGCACTTTGGGAGGCCGAGACGGGCGGATCACGAGGTCAGGAGATCGAGACCATCCTGGCTAACACGGTGAAACCCCGTCTCTACTAAAAATACAAAATTAGCCAGGCATGGTTTCGCATGCCTGGAATCCCAGCTGTTCGGGAGGCTGAGGCAGGAGAATTGCTCGAATCTGGGAGGCGGATCCAGGATCCACCACTGCATTCCAGCCTGGCGACCCAGCGAGACTCCGTCTCAAAAAAAAAAAAAAAGAAGAGACTGAACAGAAATGGGACCCAGACCTCTGGAGAAGGGCTGCTTTCCTGGATACTTCTTCAGGAATTCGAAGGTGGGACTCTGATGAGCTGGGACTCAGATCTCTAAGGAGGGGCACTGCTCCCTGCTGGTGCCACAGGAGCTTGGAGGAAGGTTCCTGTGGGTCTAGACTCAAATCTGAACAGGGTGCTCTGGCCCGCTGCTATTGATATGTCTGGAGGGGTGCAGTGAGGCTAGTTCTGGCATAATAGAGGAAAGGCTATAATCTGGAGCCACTTGCAGCTGTTAAGGGGAAGAATTGTTGCTGGAATGATGCTAACAGGAATAGAATACAAAACTGGAAGTAGCCAGTCACTGTATCTCCTCCAGCCTTGCGCTTTCTCTAGCACCTTCTAGTGGCAGAGCCTACAGAGACCAGCTGGAAAAGCAAAAAGGGGGTTTGTAGAGTCCCTGGGTCAGTATTGTATAGCTGAGGTGGATTTGCAACTGAGCGCAATTGCTTACTCACCAGTACAGTTGGTTTCTAACTTTTGAATTACCATAAACATTTTTGGAGCTATACATATAGCCATAGTTATTTCCTTATAATACATTCCTGGAAGTGAAATTGCTAGACCCCTGTATGTGTCAAATTCTCTATTATCTATCTATTGGAGGTGTCTGACACTTTCTAACTTTCCCGTTATAAATAAATCTCACTGTTAATTAGTTGAATACATTATACTAGCAAGGTATAAATACTAATGATGTTGAACTGAACAGGAAAAAAATTAGAGAAATGTCCTTCCTTAAATTTATGTTTTATAAATCTGAGGTGTTCTATCTTTGACCTTAATTTTTTAAAGTTCAATTAAATACAGTTATATTCTGATTGAATTTTTTTCTTTATTTATTTTTAAAAATATTCTTTTTTTTTGTTTATTTCAGGAAGAAAGACATAAGTCACGAAGGCCTTTATCTACATCACATGAACCAATATTTCCCTTAAATACTATAAAGATGAAACTAAAGGAGAATAACCTCAACAGACTGCCCAAAGGCATGCAAGCCCGGGAGCCCTCTCCATGTTCTACCAGGCATTTCTTCCAGGACCAGCCAGTTCAGTTGAACCTTGGAAGTAATTTCAAAATCTCTGGAGGAAGCAAGCCTCCATTTGTTGTTAGACATGTGAGCCTAAAATTATTTTTTAGAGTATTTTGCAATAGTGAGGATACGGATGAGGGTGGAATAAAGGAAGTTTGAGCTATAATAACAAATGAATAATATTAAATAAAAAGGTACTTCAAATTGAATAATAATTGTGATTAAATTATGTTAATTTCCTAGATCATTGTCAGGAAACTCTTAGAAAGGTGCCCTATACAGTAGACTTGCTCAGTAAATGTCAGCCATCCCTATTTTTAATTTTTGAAAATTATTAGCAGAGTATAATGTCTACACATGATAACTTGCTGTTATCTTGAAGAGTCAGTGAACTGACAGAGGTTGAAAACACGTAACGAAGGTTGGCATGCACTCTGTATCAATCCAAAACTAAAGCTTCATCAGTTTTAAAGAAAACTACATGAGTTTTCTTAATGAGATTGGTGCTCAGTGGCCATATGTTGAAGAGCCAGAAAAGTTTGTTTGCAGGAAGAAGCAATGTTGTGCGATACTCAAAGCACTTAATTAAAGTCATCTTAGATTATGTCCTCTGGCAATGGTGGGCAAATTTAATCACACTAGTTCTCTTAGTCTCTTTACAATTTTTTTTTTTTTTTTTTTTTGAGACAGAGTCTTGCACTGTTGCCTAGGCTAGAGTGCAGTGATACAATTTCAGCTTACTGCAACCTCCGCCTACCACGTTCAAGTGATTCTCCTGCCTCAGCCTGCTGAGTAGGTGGGATTACAGGTGCCCACCACCACACCCAGCTAATTTTTGTGCTTTTAGTAAAGACAGGGTTTTACCGTGTTGGTCAGGCTGGTCTCGAACTCCTGACCTCAGGTGATCCACCCACATTGGCCTCCTACAGTGCTGGGATTACAGGCATGAGCCACTGCACCCGGCCTACAACTTTTTTGCTACTATAAAAGTAATGGAAAACAGAAAAGTTCAGGAAAAAAATTAATCCATTGGCTCACCAGCATAATAAAATCATTGTTTGATTTAATTTGACTCAATTTCTCTACATTATACTTGCATTCATAGGCTTTATTTTTTCCACAAAGTTGTAATTATACTGTATATACAGATTAGTTTTCCTACATATTCTGATTAACATTATATTAAAAAAATTTCCTGTGTTATTTTGTAGTCTACACGAACACCAGTTCATGTTCTAATTAATGACTTATTCTCCAGAATGTTAACTATTGATAGTATCATTAAGTTGATATTTTGATTTAACGTCACCAGTGGTGATGTTTGTGTATTAGGCAGAGACTGTGAAGTGTAGTAAGTCTTGAAGTGAAGGTGCTGCTGAGATGACTGTATGTAGAATTGGTTTGTAGAACTGTTTGGCTAGAAACTGCAGAACAGCTATCTACAAAAAATACACAACAGCTGTTGTCTTGGTGGCCTGGGTAATGACATCTGGCAAAAATCTAACTACCAATCTTTAAACATGGGGCCATAAAAATATCGAATTGAGTTCATTTATTTCATTTTGTTGAAAATATATCTGATTTACTTCATTTGATATAAATTATTGTAAAATACAACTTTAGTCCATGCCATTATGAACTAAGTAATCTTAAAATCTTGGTAGGTTTCTTAGGGGATTAAAACTTGCTTGATACTTATTTTATTTAACAAATTCTTATATAGTTTTTCCTATGCGCCAAAGTCTTTTAGCAGTGATTTGACTATTTAATTTTTTTATTTAGTCAGATTTTCTGATGATATGTGATGTTTCCTTAAGTAGAAGCATTAAAATTTAGAAAACCTGATGTTATAAAGACTATAAATTCAAGTCAATATATTAAAGTAAAATGAAAAGTAACATTATAACCTGCCTTATTAAAATTTTAAAAAACAGAAATAAAAAAAATTCAGCAACTCTATATTGTAGATATTTGGAAGAGTCCCTAGTTCACGTGTTTTGACCTGTTTGCAGATCATGTTACCCAATTTTTCCTTAGGAAAATATGGTCAGTCACCATAGATAAAATAATATAGTTGCTATTATTATTATTTATTATTATTATTTTTTTGAGATGGAGTTTCACTCTTGTTGCCCAGGCTGGAGTGCAATGTCGTGATCTCGGAGCATCGCAACCTCCGCCTCCCAGGTTCAAGCGATTCTCCTGCCTCGGCCTCCCAAGTAGCTGAGTTTACAGGCATGTGCCACCACGCCCAGCTGATTTTTGTATTTTTAGTAGAGATGAGGTTTCTCCATGTTGGTCAGGGTGGTCTCGAACTCCTGACCTCAGGTGATCCTCCCTCCTTGGCCTCCCAAAGTGGTAGGATTACAAGCATGAGCCCCTGCACCCGGCCTAGCTACCGTTATTCTTTTTTTCAAAAATGTAGACACTCGGACCAGAGAGGAATCTGGAAAGTAGAAATGTCATCTTGTGGGAATCCCTTGCTGTCAGTGAGGACCCCACTTAGGCCACTACTACTCACACTGTTTAAGGAATGTGAAACATTGTCCTATTTTAAGAGATTGTGAAATAAAGCTTCACTTGCCCTCTTTCTGTGCTGTATCCTTACCAGTTGTTGGAATGTAATTTGTGTCTAACTTTAGTTCCTTATGCTAATGTTTAGCCTATGTCCTCATATTCTAGCCTCAATGAAGGACAGAGAGTTTCTCCTTTTAGGTGTAACATGTAGCAAACTTGGAGACTGTGATCTAGGTGGTTTTCCAGCCTTCTTTTTCCAACCTGTGTAATCAGTGATTGAGGGGGAGACAGGCATTACCAGTGATGAGGGGAGGGTACTAGAAGCTATAGTGGATTCTAGTCTTATTTCTTTCCTTTACTTTCAGGTGGACAGTGCAAAGCCCTTTGGTGAGAATATTTCAGAGCATCATTTGAGGAGGTGTAGAAGAAAATCTAAGTTTTCAGACTTTCCGTTTCCAATGAGAAGAGGTACTTGAGTTTCTTGTTACTCCTGTACATTTCCCTGTGGCAACAAATGTGTCCTGTGTATACTCTTTCATTCTGAGGAATCACAGGTTATGTTCGGAACTGTGGGCCTAATTCTCAAGTCCTCTCCAGCTGTGGAATTTCCAGGACAGTGGTCCCACGAAGCAGAGTCAGCTGAGAAGCTTCTGTCTGAGAGTTCCCCTCGTCATTGAAGGGGACCGTTCTGAGCAGCGTGCTGAGTGTGCTGTGGTTGCAGTTGTTCCCTGGCTGTTCCCTGGCTGGGCTGGGAAAGCAGAGTGCAACTTGTCCTGCTGTGAACCCTTTGCAAAGTCACCATTGATGCCTAACAAATAAGGCTTTCCATTTTTCTGGATGGGAAAAAACAGGAGATTGATGGTGATCAGGAGATGTAACATTTGCTTTACAAGATTTCATGTCAGTGAGGTGGGAAGCCAACTCTATCTGAAGCAGTTAGATGAAGGCAGGGTATTTTTAAACCTTTAGATTTCAGGCCCTTTTGCATTCTTAATATTGTTGAGGAGCCCAAAGAGCTTTTCTTGATGTGGATAACATCAGTAGTTAGCATGTTAGAAATTAAAACTGATACATTTTTAAAATATAAGAATAGACTACGGCCAGGTGCAATGACTCACGCCTGTAATCCCAGCACTTTGGGAGGCTGAGGCAGGCAGATTACCTGAGGTTGGGAATTTGAGACTAACCTGACCAACATGGAGGAACCCCATCTCTACTAAAATTACAAAATTAGCCAGGCATGGTGGTGCATGCCTGTAATCCCAGCTACTCGGGAGGCTGAGGCAGGAGAATTGCTTGAACATGGGAGGCAGAGGGTTGTGGTGAGCCAAGATTGTGCCATTGCACTCCAGCCTGAACAACAAGAGTGAAACTCTGTCTCAAAAAAAAAAAAAAAAAAAGAATAGACTAGTACACATTCCATTAGCCATCATCATGATGATGATGTCGTAACATCATTGTGGCTTTTGGAAAACTCCATTGTGCAGTGGTGAGAGAATGGGAATGAAAGAGGCAAATCATGTCTTAGTATTATTATGAAAACAGTTTGACCTTGCAGATTTCCTGAAAGGTCTTGGGGACCCTTGGGGGAGATCCCTGGACCACACATTAAGAGTCACTGGGTTAAGGAATTCCTTGTAGGCTTTTGACTGAAATCCATGAATCATGTCGTTAGTGAAGGTCGTGTTGGTGAAGATCAGTCATTCCTGAAATTAATCAAAATTCTTAGGCTGGAAAGGAATGGTGGTGGTCCATTCTCTTGCCGCTGGTAGTACTGAACTTTCCATCTATTGCCATCCCTGACAGTAGAGTTCTTTATCTTAGGCTTAAAGGTTTACACTTTTAAGGGTCTACTTTTAAGCCTCTTATGGTAACTTAAGCCAGTGTTCTTAGACTGTGGTAGCTCTTTGACAGCAGCTGGCCAAGGACAGAGTACCGGGTTTGAAGCAGAATGTGCTTCATCACATCTGACATTTAATTTAAGTTCTTTGAATTGAAAGTCACCCGGGTAGCTTATAAAGCAGCATTGTCTTCCCTACTGCAGTGAAATCAGGCAACAGCAAATGTCCTTTCCTGGGGCGGACAAATTGGGTTTAATGCAGGCTCTATTATCATGGGACTCACACATCACATTGGTCTCGGCCTTTGTCTTTTCTTAATCCTCGCAGGTGGAGAACTAAGGTTCCAGAGAGGTTACAATGTGTGTAAAGGTCACACACCAAGCTTTTGGCATACCTACATTTAGAGAAGACATTCAGACCTCTGGCCTCAGATCCTTGGAATCCCTGTAGCTTTCAAGCCACACCTTTGCTTAGGTCACCTGTCAGCTCATTCATCCAGGCCTAAGGTAGAACACAGCAGTGCTTCTCAAACTTTAATGTGCATTTGAATCACCTGGGGCTCTTGTTAAACTGCAGATTCTGATTCGTTAGGGCTGGGGTGGAGCTTAGGTTTCTCCTTTTCTAACAGGCTTCCAGGTGATATGAATGCTACTGGTCCAGGGACTGCACTTTGAGAAGCAAGGGAATGAAGGCGAGCCCCCGTGTGAAAGGAAGGGCTCAAAACCAGTAGGTAGGAGTTTCTGAGGTCACAGGGTTATGAGGCCACAGGAGGAAGGAGGTTATGAGGCCACAGGTTATGAGGCCACACTGGAAGGAGGTTATGAGAAGGGGGTTATGAGAAGGAGGTTATGAGGCCACAGGGCAAGTTTGTGGCTATAGCCGAAAGGGCATTAGCATTGCTGACTCCCTGCCCAGCTGGGGGTGGGTGCAAAGAGAGCTCCTGGGACAAAGTGGTACATACATATCTATATGCCTAAAGGATATGAAAATGGTCTGGCTTTAAAAATCTCTTTTTATATCTACCAGTGACATGGGGAGGGGAATCAGCAGTCCAGAAAAAGTCCTTTGTCATTGCCTGAGCCCCGGTCACACTGGGGGAAGCCATGGTGACCTTAGCATTGCCTTACAAATACTAATTTTAAAAACAGTTTTTAATCAACCTGGAAAAATCCAACCTAGTCTTCACTTTCTCTGTGTCTTTATTACCTCATTTCCTAGTCATCCTTGCCATACTTCGGCATTAGGTCTACTTACCTATGATGATCATTTACAGTCGTGATAGTGATTTCCATTTTTGCTATGTTCTGTATTTCTCCAAGCTTTTACATATTTGTTGTCTCAATTTAACATTTGTGTCTACCTTGGACAAATATATTCAAGAGCTCCTGCATAAATAGGATTCCATGAAAACCAAAGAAAATGTCAGAGGAGACAGTTTACAAATTTTATATTAGACACATAGTACTTTTTTTTAGGTTCTGGGCACCTACTCAAATACGAGTTTTTCAGGCTGCTTAAGGGTTATTGAACTTACTCATTCACTTTAGACTTGCTTTACCCTTCCCTCTTCCATACGTGCTGTCATTGAAGACAAAACGTCCAGAGGCTCACACCTGTAATCCCAGCACTTTGGGAGGCCAAGGTGGGTGGATCACCTGAGGTCAGGAGTTCGAGATCAGCCTGGCCAACATAGCAAAACCCCATCTCTACTAAAAATACAAAAATTTAGCCGGGCGTAGTGGTGGGCACCAGTAATCCAAGCTAGTCTGGAGGCTGAGGCAGGAGAATCGCTTGAACCCGGGAGGCGGAAGTTGCAGTGAGCTGAGATCATGCCATTGCACTCCATCCTGGGCGACAGTGTGAGACTCCATCTCAAAAAACAAAAACAAAAACAAAAACAAAAACCCAAAAAACAAACAAACAAAAAAACCAGAACACCTCATTGTTAACCTCAAAAAGACAAAAACAAAACAAAACATAAAAACCCCATGACCCAGAGAATTGAAGTGGCTTAAGGGAGACTTAAAAGTGGTAGTGTAACTTACAAGGGAGCATTTAAGTTTTTAAATAATTCATTCATTGTCTAAAATTTTTGTACCGCTGTAGAATAAATATAATGGCAGTTTTAAAGCTAAATGGTAATAATGAGTCATTGAAACACCTGTTCCTCTTTCTTCTAGCTTCTTCTCTTGACAGCCTTGCAGCTAACGTAAAGGTAATTTTAGAAATAGAATTTGTAAAATTATTTACTTCCAGCTATCTTATGTCAATTATTGTGCTTTTTCCAATCAGTGGTGGATATTTCTAGTTAGTCTGCTTAGGTGGAATTGCTGTAGTTTAGTGTTTGTATGAAGATGTGCCCAGACTCCATGTTATACTTTGCTTTGGGGTTAGCTGGTTTGTGCCCCTCATATAAGTAGGATGAGTCACCACAGAGGGTGTATGTAGACCCAATACCTACTTTATTTGTAGTGATTTTTATTGCTTTTTCTCCAAGCAAATAATTTTATACATAGAGGTGGTAAATCATTTGTTCTTGAAGTTTGATTGGTTTGTGAAAGTGAAGGCTCAAACTTCTGTGTAACAACATGAGAATAGATTTATGCAGAGAAGATGGAATATACTATGCTTCTTATGCCATAGCACTTAAATATTTTGTTAAAGTTATATTTTTCCCAGATCAATAATCCCTAGTCCTCAGAAATCAAAGTTTACAGCGTGAGTTTATTTTGGTTTGTTAATATATCCCAAACATACAGAATTTTGGTTATTTTTATCAGTCTTAACTCCTGAGCATTTTGTCACTAGTCTTCTCTTCTCCAGATCCTCTTCTATTTGCAGGAGATCCCTGGCGCAAATGTTCTGTCATCTTAGCCCTAGTTGTCTTCCTTGTTCAACCCCACCCCCAGCTCTAAATTAAGCAAACAGAAGCAAAATTACAATTAAATAATGCGCATTCACTCAGGTTATCAGAGAGCCAGATGAACGGATTATTTTAAGGAGTGACTCATCATCACGTTTAGATTCAAGTCAGTTTGGAAAGTCCTCGTCCAGTAAACAAGGGGATGCCGATTTCCACCGGAAAGCTTCATTTGCCACCTCCCAGCATTCCAGCTCTCCCGGACCCTTGGATCAGCCCCTTCTCAGAGAAAGGTCAGTGTCAAGCACCCATCTGTTTGCCTGAAGAGTGCATTGTGGCCTGGCAGGGGTAAAGCTGGGTCATTTCATCAGCTTCCTTTCTTAGGAATATTCAGCTAGTGACACCTTGATATGAAAAAATGATTATTTCTTTTAAAATCTACCCAAAAGTCAGAGGCATATCTCAGAGTATTTGCTGTGAATGGAATAGACAACTAACTTTGACATAGGTACTATTTATCTACCCATTTTTATTTGTCATACATTTAAAAACTAAACCTTTTTATTTTACCAGTATAGAAATGTTCACTACAGAAAGTTTGAAAATTACAGAAAAAAAAGGGGAAAAAAATTACCCATAGTCCTACCACCCAAAGACAAATGTTAACATATGGGCGTATATTCTTTTTCTAGACATGGTTTCTTTGTTTACATTATTTTCACAAATAATAAAATTATATTTGCATATGTCTGGAGAGCAGGCCAGAGAGTGAGAACAGAAACCTTTATTTGCCAAATGACACACTCTAGTAGGGTAAGTAACCATTGGTTTGCTTGAGTCTGCCTGATTTTAGCCCTGAAAGTCCTGCATTCTGGGAAACCCTTGAGTCTTAGGCAAACCAGGACAGTTGGTTACTTGAACTTCAGGGAAGTGGCACTGACAATAATATTTATAAGATTGTTGTTTTGAATGAAGGATGTGCCAATCTGCTTTTCTCTGCATTATTAGTGATGAGAATAAGAAGCAAACTGTGCATACCAGAATAACACAATTGCTCACAAGGGACTCAGAGTAAATATATCCCAGAACCACAGTGGCCCTGAAATTTTTACAGGAATTATATTAACTTCGAGGTAGACTAAGAAAATGGCTGTCTATTCTTAGCGTTTTTCAGAAATGACAAAATAACTCTATATTCAAATGTTAAATCATGGATTTAAGGAAGCCAGATCACATATTTTAATAAAATCCATTAATATATGGCAAGCTTTTGATTAGTTACTTTATTAGAGGAAAATAATACAACATAGATTAAAAAAAAACTGGCTCTGGGCTGGGCACGGTGGCTTATGCCTGTAATCCCAGCACTTTGGGAGGCCAAGGCGGGTGGATCACCTGAGGTCAGGAGTTTGAGACCAGCCTAACCAACATGGAGAAACCCTGTCTCTACTAAAAATACAAAATTAGCCAGGCGTGGTGGCGTATGCCTGTAATCCCAGCTACTCGGGAGGGTAAGGCAGGAGAATTGCTTGAACCTGGGAGGCAGAGGTTGTGGTGAGCCGAGATCGTGCCATTGCACTCCAGCCTGGGCAACAAGAACAAAATTCCGTTTAAAACAAACAAATAAAAAAACTGGCTCTGGCACACAGAGACAGGTGGTCAGAGACACACTTACACCGCTCTGTGCCTGGCCTCTGTCCCCTCCTGTCTTATGCTTTTGCCACCAGCCTGGAATTCAGCAGACTGGCAAAGCACAGGAGGTTATCCTGGATTTAAAGACTTGTAAAGGATTGATTTTAAATGAAGAGTGGAAAGAACTTTCAATTGGCAGTGGTCAGGAGACATGGGCTCTAGCGCTCATGTGTCTCTAAGTGCTGGGTGATTTCACACAGCTACTTGACCTAATTTTTTTAATTAGTTAATTTCTTTTTTTGAGATCAGGTCTTGCTTTGTCACCCAGGTGGAGTGCAGTGGCACAATCACAGCTCACTGCAGCCTTGACTTCCCCAACCCAAGCAATCCTCCTGCCTCAGCCTCCTGAGTAGCTGGGACTACAGGTGCGCACCACCATGCCTGGCTAATTTTCGTACTTTTATTTTTGTAGAGATGGGGTCTCACTGTGTTGCCCAGGCTCTTCTCAAACTCCTGGGCTCAAACAATTGTCTTGGCCTCCCAAAGTGGTGGGTACTGGCATGAGCCACTGTGCTCAGCTTCAACCTTTTAAACCTCAGTTTCCTCATCTTTAAAATGGATGTGATGATCAAAGATCCATCTGCATACAGCCACAAAGTGCTTCTCAGCTGCCAGAACTGGGGAAAACCCATGGTTTTTTTCTGTCCCTGTGCTTTCTATCTATAACACCTCCCAAACTCCTCAAAATCAGTACTGCAAGCTTTTCTGAGAGACTGTATTGAGCATGCTGTTATTGGGTAACTGTTGTGGACAATGGACACCATCATGACACATCTCTGCTTTCCACTGGCTCACATACTAGACAGGAAGGCAGACATACACCATGTCACTGAATATGAGATAGACTGTGGTAGGCACTTAACACTTAACAGAAGTACAATCCAAATGCAGGGTAAAGACAGAGTGGGAGGAAATCAATTCCATCAGGAGAGAGATCTGAGAAGGCCTCTTTTCTCTTTAAATACATGTTAGATAGTTTATGCATTCATTCAGCCAGCCTTTCCCGAACGTCTTTATGCAGCAGGCCAGCAATTCTCAACTCTGGCCAACAGAAGAATTGCCTCTTGTTTACTGAGTCAAAATCAACTAGGATTGGAATTGAGTGTGTGGGCGGGGAGTGCATGAAATCTGTGGTTAAGAGGAAAGTAGGATTGATACTCAATCTGCTAGGCCTGGAATGGGAACACTGACATTTAAGACATTTCGCCTGATTTCTGAAAACTTGCAACCTAGTAGAGGATATAAAAAAAATAAATAATAATAAAAAAGAAGCATGCGAAGAGCTTTCTACAAAGCAGAACTTTGTGAATAGTGTGGAACAAAAGTTACTGGAGTATAAAGAAAAAGGGTGGAACTTTTGGAGTGTTTTAATGGAGGAGGTGATACTTTCATGTGGCCGTGAGGGGAGAAGATTGGATTATGATGGGGTTCATGGCGGTGAGTGATGGGAGGTGGGAGGCAGGGGCACTGTCAGCTTCCAGCAGTTAAGAAGTTTGGAGAAAGTTGGTGCCAGTACTCAAAGGTTTGAGGGGGACCTTGGTTGCTTGACCTAAGGAGTTTGGGCTTTGCTTGGAAGGAGTGAGGAGCTCTGTGATATTAGTCACGGGAGTTGGCACAAGTGACTTTAGAAAGATGAGTCTTAGCTGCAGACCAGAGTTTTACTGGCCATCTCTGATGAGGCAGCAAATTCTTTGTGCCCAAAGTCTCTCTAAACTGGTAGCTTGGGACCTAGTTGGACTATGAGTTGGTAAATAAGGCCATGATTATCAGTGACAAAGAATAACACAGCCACAGAAAGGCCATCCAGTTTGCCCATAGCTGTCCTGGTTTTAGTACCAAAAGTTTGCATTCTGGGAAACCCCTGAGTCCCCCTGAGTCCCAGTTAAACCAAGACAGCTGGTCACCTTAACACTAGAGAAGTGGCTCTGAAGATAATATTTTAAAAACAGTTCTTTTGAACGAGGGATATGCCCTTCATGTCCTTGCAGAACACATTGCCCGTTGGCTTTAGAGTGATCACCAGGGCAGATTCCTGGGACCCTGGGGGTTGCCAGCACTGTGTCTCCACTCACTCAGTGTTCTTTTCACACCAGCGTTATCAGGACCACTCTTTCTCTGTGCCCAGTTTACAAGGGTGCATGAGAATACCTGTTGTGTTTCTGCTAACTTAATACTGAAGTCAGTAAGGATCAATGTCTTAGGGATGAGTTGGGAGACAAATTTTGGAGTGAGAGTCAGCCCAAGGTTTTGATGGACGAAGTAGAAAACACTTTATCAAAGGGAACAATGGGAGTACTAAAGGAGGGAGAAACACTGCCAAGCCTGTTCCCTGTATCCACCATCTGAATAGTGTCATGCCCCTTCAGCACACCCTCTCTCTGCACGTTACTAAAGGAGAAGGTAGATCCCATGGAGAGGGCTCTAGTAAAGGCATAGCATTGCTCCCATCTGTTGACTCATCATTCTCTGAGATCTTCAAATGTAAAAAAAATAAATTGCATGTAACGATAATGGCAACAAATATAGGAGTCGCTTTGGTACTGGTTACTCTAGATCTATGAAAAAACATTTACAGTATCCAGCTGGTGGCTGTTTTTAAATGCTAGCTTCATTTATAGCTTCAACATATTTCTATTCCTTCCTCTTGAACATTCTTAGAGAAGGGCCAGGCGCGGTGGCTCACGCCTGTAATCCCCGCATTTTGGGAAGCGAGGTGGGTGGATCACTTGAGATCAGGAATTGAAGACCAGCCTGGCCAACGTGGCCAAACCCTGTCTCTACGAAAAGTACAAAAATTCGTTGGGCGTGGTGGCATATGCCTGTAGTCTCAGCTACTTGGGAGGCTGAGGCAGGAGAATTGCTTGAATCTGGGAGGCAGAGGTTGCAATGAGCCAAGGTAACGCCACTGTAGTCCAGCCTGGGTGACAGAATAAGACTCTGGGTCAAAAAAAAAAAAAATTCTTACAGAAGCATAGAAATAATGTTTGTAGTGACATGGGCAGTGCTTTAGGTGGTGCTTCCATTTGCTATGAGTTGTTTTCTTGGGTCGGCAATGGATTTGTGTAGATCCATTCATACTCTTGGTCTTGTCTCCCTGGAAAAACCAGCGGGACATGCTTGTCACAGAGAGAGCTGGAATGGAGGCCCGGATGTGGGCCGGAACCAGCCAAGCAGAGGGGCAACTGCACAGGGTGGTCATTTATATGGTAGCCATAGTAACAACTGGATTTCCAGATGTTCCTGTCATTTCCAGTGTGTACCGCACATTAATTAAAGAGAACCATTTTCTTTTCTTTTCTTTTTTTTTGAGATAGAGTCTTGCTATGTTGCCTAGGCTGGAGTACAGTGGTGCCATCTCGGCTCACTGCAACCTCTGCCTCCTGGATTTAAGCAATTCTCATGCCTCAGCCTCCCAGTATCTGGGACTACATATGTACCACCACCACACCTGGCTAATTTTTTATATTTTTAGTAGAGATGGAGTTTCACCATGTTAGCCAGGCTGGTCTGGAGCTCTTGGCCTCAAGTGATCCACTCATCTCAGCCTTCCAAAGTGCTGGGATTATAGGTGTGAGCCACTGCGCCTGGCCCCAAGTGGCTATAATTCTTTGGGTATTTTTAGAAAACGGTATCTGTGCCTTTCATTATCAAATTGCTATGTACACTTTTAGATTAGTTATATACCTCAGACTTTAGGATTTGGTAACCATCCGCCTCCTGAATATGAATGGATGTATGAATGAATGAATGAATGAATGAATGAGAGAATGAATTCAATCACTCAATAAATATTTATTAACTACTTACTGTGCTATTCAGTTCCTACTCTGCCCTGGGATGAGCTATTAAGCAAAGAGTCTCAGTCTCAATTTCACTCTAGGAGTAAAGACCGCCATTAACCAAATAATGACAAAATGTCCACTGGTGCAAATGGTATTAATGAGGTATAGATAAATGAAACTGCAAGTGCGTATAACAGAGAAGCTGACCTCCTCTACAGGAGAGGGCTCAGAAAGGACTTTGTTGAGAACTGAACAATTGAACTGAGCTCTGAAGGGTTGGTAGGAGTTAATAAGAGTAGTGAGCAGGGTTGGGAGGTAGAAGAGGGAACAGTGTTGCCAAATGCCTATGGAAGGTAGAAAATGCTCTATGTTTGGGGAACTGAAAGAGACTATCAAACCTATGGTTCAGTTTGGAGTCTGGGTGGCCTAAAGTAAATGAGATATGAGATAAAGTCCTGGTGGTAGGAAACAACCAGGATTGGAGGCTGGGTGTAGTGGCTCACACCTGTAATCCCAGCACTTTGGGAGGCTGAGGCAGGAGGATCACTTGAGTACAGGAGTTTGAGACCAGCCTGGACAGCACAGGGAGACCCTGTCTCTACAAAATACTTAAAAGTTAGCTCCGCATGGTGGTGCATACCTGTAGTACCAGCTATTTGGAAGATTGAGGTGGGAGGATCCCTTGAACCCAGGAGTTCGAGACCAGCCTGGGTAACAAGACCCTATCTCTTAAAGAAAAAAAAATAGCCAGGCATGGCAACATGTACCTAGTTGATCCTCTGGGAGGCTGAAGTTGGAGGATTGCTCGAGTCCAAGAATTCAAGGCTGCAGTGAGCTATGATCATGCCACTGTACGTTAGCCTGGGTGATAATCTCTCCCTAAAACAACCACTGGGATTAAATTTTATATTAAAATTTTTTGGATTTAAATTTCATATTAAAAGTTTTTGTATTAAAATTTTAAATGTAAAAGTAGGGTTTGTTCATGAGAGAAATAATCTGAAAAACACAGGAAAGTACAAAGAAGAAAAGAATCACTCATAGCCACACATAGAAACACGAAAAATTCTTTTTTTTTTTTTTTTTTTTTTTTTTGAGACGAAGTCTCGCTCTGTCCCCCAGGCTGGAGTGCAGTGGCACGATCTTGGCTCACTGCAAGCTCCACCTCCCGGGTTCATGCCATTGTCGTGCCTCAGCCTCCTGAGGAGCTGGGACTACAGGTGCCCGCCACCACACCTGGCTAATTTTTTGTATTTTTAGTAGAGACAGGGTTTCACCATGTTAGCCGGGATGGTCTCCTGGCCTTGTGATCCGCCCGCCTCGACCTCCCAAAGTGCTGGGATTACAGGCATGAGCCACTGCGCCTGGCCAAAAATTCTTAACATCTGAGCAGTTTTTATTCCCCAGTGCTTTTCCTATGGGTAGGTTTAAGAAAGACATTGAAATCACACTATGTTTACCATTTTGCATGCTGCTATTTTTTATTATGATTAAGTTTTAAATATCAATCCATATTGTCATGTGCTTTATTTAAGTGTCGTTTTTAGTAGCTGCTTAATATTCCACCCTGTTCCATCTGTTGAGCAGGTTCCATCCTGGTTCTCAGTCCACTTGGAAGAATATCCATGAGAGGGTATGCAGTCTTCTGACATCCCACAGAGCACAGCAGCACCAAAATAAGGTTAGACTTTCTTATAAAACTAAATCTTTGCTCACTAAATAATATGGGAACAGGGACCTATAGTCTAGTCAGGGAGACAGACATTAATCAAATAACCACAGAAATAAGTGAAAAATTGTGAGGCTTACCAAGGAGATTACCTGTTGTCCTGAGAGTGAATGGTGGCGGGTATTTGACATGGCTGAGAGTCAGGGCTGGCTTCCTGAGGATGAGACAGTGGGACTTAGATGCAACGGAGGAGTAGCAGCTAATTTGGTGCACGGCACTCATCAAGTGGAAGTCCTTTCAAAGGACTAAGAGAAAGCAGGCTAACTGGCCCACAGAGCATTCCTTTCCCCTGCACACATGAATCCCAATCCAGTGAAGAATACAGTTGTGTTTGAGCTATGTAAGGCCACAACATGGAAGAAAGTTGTTCTAAAATTTAATAAGGTGGTTTTTGGCTGTATGACTTTTACAGGGGTATGGGGAGTGCTTCTGATCCATTGGTAGGTATTCCCAGTACTTTGTCACTGCTTCAGACACACAGCTAAATGGCCGTTTACCAGCTCCAAAGAATTCAAATAAAGGATAACAGTGCCCCCAGTGGCTGACTTTAATGATGCCATGTATTTGAATTAGTCATCTTGACTTATTAAATACTGGCATATGCTAGATTTGCAGGATGATGCTTAAAAATAAATGTTGTTTGCCCTAACCATGAGGGTAGTGAACTACTTTACTTCTTTTCTGCAAAGTCATAGGCTTTGCTTTAATTCCTAACCTTTTCGGGCAAGGACTCTCTTTAAAATGTAAACAAAGGCCTGGTTTGGGGCTTAAATCTATAATCCTAGTACTTTGGGAGGCTGAGGAGAGAGAATCTCTTGAGGCCAGGAGGTTCAAGACCAGCCTGGCAACATAATGAGACCTCGTCTCTACAAAAAAAAGAAAGATTCTACATACACACATATATAGTGAACCCCATATAACAGCATAAATGGGATGCACAGACCTCCTACATGCAAAACTACACCTCTGGGTATCATCCATCTCTATTATGTTATGGGTAACATAATTGCTGGATTTGTTTTTATTGTAGGAAGAGTCTACCTCTGAAGTAAATTATATCATTGAAAGACCAAGCTGCCGTCTGAAGAAATACCCACTGCATGAACAGAGATATTTTTAAGCTGCTGTCTTATATAAGTAAGCAGCTTAAATACTTCTCCTTATCTTGGTTTGCTAAAAGAATTTCAGTTTTCTCCTATCAGTATGAAGTAACTAGAAAGTATGGAGGACGGGAGACTTGGAGGAGACTTGAGAACCATGTTCTTCCCTTGCTCTGTATAATGGAGCTCTGATAACGGCAGTGCATGTGTCTTCCAGTTCTCTTGCCTTTTGTAATCATCTCTCCTGCCCCCAACATCACCCTTTGTCTAATGGACCTTCCAGCCTTCTTTCAGCTCCTTGAACACGAGCTCTTTCCTGCCATGGGGTCTTTGCACATGTTGTTTTCTTCATCTGGAATTTGTCTTCCTGACTCTGCCTGGATAACTTCTATTTGTCCTTCCAGGCTCGTGATTTTCTGCGACACGACACTCCCTCTCTCTGTGATGCATACTGTTTAGCACACTGCATTTTTCCTTCATAAATTATAACACAATTTATTATTATATTTTTATCTGGGCTGATTGTTTAAAATCTGTCTGTTCTACTGGAATGAAACCTTTATGAGATCAGAGAATCTGTCTCTGTTGCTCACTGCTTTATAACCAGTATTTAGTGCCATACAATGGAATCACATTTAACTTTTCAAACACATGTACTAGGTGTGTGCACTGAACAAGAACCTGCCTTCCCATCTCCACCCTGCTGCTGTCCCTGTATCACCTGACCCTCCACAATGGTTGCTGCTCAGTAAAGAGAGTTTTGTTTTGTTTTGAGATGGAGTCTTGCCCTGCTGCCCAGGCTAGAGTACAATGGCATGATCTTGGTTCACTGCAACCTCCACCTCCCGGGTTCAAGTGATTCTCCTGCCTCAGCCTCCTGAGTAGCTGGGATTATAGGTGCGCATGACCACGCCCGGCTAATTTTTGTATTTTTAGTAGAGACAGGGGTTCACCATGTTGGTCAGGCTGATCTCAAACTCCTGACCTGGTGATCTGCCCGCCTTGGCCTCCCAAAGTCCTGGGATTACAGGCGTGAGCCATTGCACCTGGCTGCAGTAAAGGGTTTTTATAAATGCATGTTGAATATGCATTTATTATGAATGCATGTAACAAGGAAACTCTGGAATTCAGATCTGTGGCAAATAGCCACATTGTGGGACATCATAGTTTCTCATATATTCTTTTCTTTTCTTTTTCATTCAAGCTCAGAATAATAATCGCTATTCCTTATGGCATGCGGCCTGAGTGCTGAGACTAGTACACATACTTCACATGTATTAAACAAGTTCATATCTAATTCTCAGGACAACCTGATGAGATAGGTACTATCATTAGTTCCATCTTACAACTAGGGAAACTGAGGCATAGGTTAGGTCCGTTGCTCAAGGTGACATGGCTAGTGAATGGTGGAGCTTTATTCTCTTAACCGCTACATTCTATTGCATTTTCAAAGCTGAGTGTAATCATACATGGAAATCCATGCAGAGAAAGAGCAGGTGTGTGAAAGAGGGCCCTTTGGAACCCAAGCAGAGTTTGTGGGCATTGCCTTCAGAAGGCTCCCACTAGGATCCTATAGCTTTGTAATGTATAGTCCTCATGTCAGCAGGATCAGAATAATTATGCATCTTTCTAAACAGTAAAGGAGTGTGGGATAACCTGCTAAGTTTTCACTGTAGTCAGGCTCCTGAAAGTCTGGTTTGAGGGTCACGCGTGCTTTACAGAACAAGTTGGTTTGCCCTAGGGGTGGCCAGGGCTCCCTACCTTTAGCACAGAGGAATGGGGAGGACAGCTCAGTAATTGCCCATTCTGCAGGGTTCTACCTTAGAACGTTCTGCTTGCTAGATTAAAGGACGGATTCTGGGCCATTTACTCTCTGGGTACCAAAGTAATTGCTGTCTAGGCCATTATTTAGGTGGTTATACAGAACATAGCCCACATGATCATCAAATGCCAAATTACGCTGAATTTCAACATGGGTAATATCAGGTTACACAGAGCCTTGAACCAGCTGATATGTGGACACTGATGTCGGGGGATAGAGAGAAAGTAAGAAAAGAAAAAAACACGTCAATTCTGTCTTGGAAAATAGGTTTCATACATAACAGGAATTCCCACCCAGTGGTTTGACATAAGTTTAGAAGACCTTCTCTGGAAGTCTCCATACCATCCTCCCTGACACCACTTCTTGAGTCATGGATTCCTGGAGAGGCTGGGATCCTGGAGGGTCATTTTAGTGAAGGTTTAGTGATTGTAAAAAACCCAAGTGACTCTGGCTAGTCTTAAGCAAACAGGGCGTTTATCTGAAAGATGCTGAGCATCCATCTCAGTGAGTCCAGGAAAGATCCAAACAGGCAAGATCAAATAACTGAACAGGACAGCCAGAGCCACTCCTGTGGGTTGGGAGGACAGACCCCAGGCAGGAGGCATCCCCCACACACAACCCAGTGGCTCCCATGGTGTGTCCTAGTTCTGGCTTTTCTTGAGGACTCTCTTCTAATGGCAGCACCAATTCCTGTCTCTCCCTTTCTCCATATCTGTTTCACTGCCACGTCCTGGCTCCCCAGTGATCTCGAGATCCCAGGGAGATGAAAAAGTAGATTCTTACCACAAAAAGGTCAGGGATTCTTTAGCCAAAAACAATGAGTCAAATTATCTGACCAGGTAGAGGGAGGGAATGAGTGAAAGAAATGGGTTGAAGGGATTGGAATACATCTACTTCTGGATCTTTTGGGACTTGGTGGTTTTGGTATAAACAGAGTATCCCTTGTATATTTAAAATTGGTAAATTTTACCACACAAAAAACAAACATCCAAAAAACCAAACAAAACCTCCCACAAAGAAACCCATCAGATTATCCCTAGTTCTCTTGGAAGGCATGATTGCCATGACATCATGGCCCCCAGTGTGCAATGCCAAATTACAGAGTGAGACTGCATCACAAAGAAGGCAAAGAAAGGAAGGAAAGGAAAGGAAAGGAGGAAGGAAGGAAAGAAAGAGGAAGAAAAGAAAAAGAAAAAAAAGAGAGAAAGAAAGAAAAAGAAAGAAAAGAACAGAGAAGGAAAGGAGGGAGAGAAGGAAAGGAGGGAGGGAAGGAAGGAAGGAAGGAAATTTGTTCAGTAGAATATAGTTGATTGGAACATGTTTAACAGGTCAACTGAATAACACCTATTTTGGCACATTTACTATGTAGCAAGGACTGTGCTAACTCTTCACAATAATAGTAAAAGGTAGATACTCTGTCATCATCCTGATATTTTACAAAGACGTCAAGTAAATTGCCCAAGGTCGCACAGATGCTCACTATGCTCACTGGGTTATTCTGTTGTGGGAATCCGGGGAGACTAAGTGATCCCAAGGCATAGCTACATGCCAAGATTGGGGTAGTATGAAATTATCTTTTTCTCCTTACTTGTATTGGTTGTTTGCCTTTTTCTCAATACCATATGTAGAATATATTGCTTCAAATTTTGCAGGGGAAATTAATGAAAGCTGAAGGAGGATCATGAAGAGCTCACTCACTACGACAATTGAAGCATCCTTAAAGAAATGAATAATTTTTGTTGTCTGTTGAATCACTGATGTCTAATCCCCTTTAAACCAAATGCTGTATTCAGTCTTTTGTGCCCAGGTAAGAGTTGTTGATTAAAGTGTTTGCTGTTTGGGGGCTCACATTTTCTTGTCAAGCTGGAAAATTTGTATTTTTGCATGTTTATTTTGAACATGAAAGAGAAAGCACTGCAGTTGGGTGGCAGGTGCTTATCCATTTGGAAAGCACTTCTTAGAATTCTAACAGGCCGGGTGCGGTGGCTCAAGCCTGTAATCCCAGCACTTTGGGAGGCTGAGGTGGGTGGATCATCTGAGGTCGGGAGTTCAAGACCAGCCTGACCAACATGGAGAAACCCCGTCTCTACTAAAAATACAAAATTAGCCAGGCATGGTGGCGCATGCCTGCAATCCCAGCTACTCGGGAGGCTGAGGCAGGAGAATCGCTTGAACCCGGGAGGCGGAGGTTACGGTGAGCCGAGATCGTGCCATTGCACTCCAGCCTGGGCAAAAGGAGCGAAACTCCGTCTCAAAAAAAAAAAAAAAAAAAAATTCTAAGAGATGCCTTTTAAGGTATTCTTCATTTTTGACAGTGGATGTGTTCTTGAAAACTTCTTTCTTTCTCTCTTCTTTCTTCTGATCCCTTTCTCTCTGTCTCTCATTAATTATATATGAGCTAGAGGAAGTTGGTATTCACAGGAATAACCTGATAAATCCTCCAGAAAAGACTGTCAACCTGACTTTCTCTTTTTGGTATATCCTTTTTTTGTTGTTGTTTATTTCTTAGTGTTAGACTTGATTTACATGAAGCCCACTAAAAACCTTGGAAAACAGAGCATTACATCTGGATAATTCAGATCTTGTTTTAAATGTTGAATTTCTGTGATAAATTTGTAAGAGGAGGCTAGCTCCTTTGGAGTGTAGTTTAAACTGCTCCTTCTGTTTCCTACTCCTTTGTTCCAGCAATTCTTTGTAAATTTAGATGAGGAACAAAACCTTCCTCAAATATTTCTCCAAAAGAACTACACATTAAGTAAATAGGTTCTACAGATAGGACTGCCAATGCCAGGTTTTAAAGTTAGTTAGGATGGTGCATTTATGAAATGCTTACACAGTGTGAGGGAGCAGGAAGAGGAAGGGGATGGGATAAAGGGAGACTAGAGGCACATTTGTCTTCATTGATACAGACCCAGAGAAGAGGGGGCTGAAAATGGAAACTTATGTGCCTCCTTCATAGTATAACCATAGCATTTTCCTCTACCAGCCCTACTGTAGTGTGAATGTTTGTGTTTCCTCAAAATTTGTATGTTGAACTCCTAACCTCTAAGGAAATGGGGCCTTTTGGGAGGTGATGAGATTGTGAGGGTGGACCCCTCCTAAATGAGATTAGTGCCCTATAAATAGGCTCAAGGGAGCTCATTTGCCCATTTCCACTGGCGAGGAGACAGCGAGAAGGCGCCATGTCTGAACCAGGAAGAGGGCCCTCACCAGATTCTGAATCTGCCAACATTTTGATCTCGGACTTCCCAGCTTCTAGAACTGTGAGAGATAAATTCCTGTTGTTTGTAAACTACCCAGTTCATGACATTTTGTTATAGCAGCCTGAATAGAGTAAGACACTACCCTAAAACTTGTTCAGTTTTTAGAAGATTCAGTGAGAGCCAAGTTTTCTTTTCTCATTGTGATCATAGGGATTGGTTCATTAGGTAAATTAAGGAAATGAAATTAAAAATTAGAAAAGGAACTCCATAAACAAAAACAACAAAACAAAAATCATTTATCCTCTTCTCAGAATTTCAGCCAAATAAAGGTATATCCAAGTTGAACCTCCCAATCTAAAAATCTGAAATCTGAAATGCTCCAAAGTCCAAAACTTTTTGAGCACCAATATAACACCATAAGTGAAAAATTCCACATCTGACCGCATGTGGCAGGTTGCAGTCAAATGCATTTGAAACTTCGTTTCATGCTCAAAATTATTTAAAATCATGTATGAAATTACCTTCAGGCTATGTGTATAAAGTGTATATAAAACATAAATGAATTTCATGTTTAGACTTGGGTCCTATCCCCTATCCCGAAGATACTTCATTGTGTTTATGTAAATATTCCAAAATACAAAATCAAAAACCAAAACCCAAGTTTAAAACACTTCTGGTCAGTCCCAAGCATTAAAGATGAGGGAGACTCAACCTGTATCACAACCAGTATTCCACCTTGGCAAGGCCAACAGCAAGCTTAAATTACATGTGCTAATATAGTCTCAGTCTCTCTGAAACTATAGTTGTCAATTTGTTATTCTGATGTTACCTCTAAGTAGTCATCAAAAATAAGAAAATACTGTGTTACATTAAGGTTATGCTATAAGTCTCAGCTAAAGGAAAGCAGCCCTAATGAATTGGTATCCCATTTCATTTATTGTTAAAATATACACCATGCGTTCAATATTCAGTGTTTTTTGAAATGGTTTGAGCGTAACTCTTTAATTTAATAAGATCTTAAATACACATTCTTATTTAAAGTCATTTTTGGTTTTCACACTAAATTATACTTTTTTCCCTCTACTTTCGCATTTATTAACTCTATTCCTTAAATTATAATCATTTTTACTTTTTGTTTCTCAAGGAGTTATCTCAATTTTGAGGAATCATGCTGGGGCAAGGATTGCAGTTGAAGTATTTTGCTTTTGGAGTATATAATAGTATGAATAATTTTGTGATGTTTGGGGGTTTGGATTACTTTGGGAAGATCTGTGTCATTAAACATCATAAAAATAATTCCCATCTGTCTTGCTTCAGTTTCTAATTCCTTTCTTGACCTTTATGGTTGCAGATCTGTCAAAGCGTGGAGCATATTTTATGGGCATATTTCATGGGGTCTTGGTTTGCAGAGGCTCCTAAGAAAATATCCTTTGTGGAACCTAGGCCCTCCAAACAAAAGCTGCTGTACAATGAGGCCAGTTCTCTGTGGTCACCTGACTTAGCTGAAGCCTGTAGGCCATGAGTTATGAAAGAGATTTTTTAAAAATGAAAGTGCAAATGATATGTTTGACATAAAAGAGGTGGTTGGTTTTAGGTGTAATTTGAGAAGACTGATGGGTATGTGTGTGAGTTTAGCCCTAGCGCCCAAATGCCAGGCTACTCTCAGTATAGCCAGTACTCCCCCGAGTTGGTTCCATCAAAGGAGCCTGCTGGGTTCTCTGGAGGGCAGCCTGAGGAACAGGATATGCTCTCTAGTCCGTGCTGTGACCAGAGAACCCACTAGTACCACCGGATGGGGCTGCTGTCTTTCTCTGGTTAGGGGACCCCTCCTAGCACTACTTGGGGGACCTGCAGGTCTTGAGGGGACCTCTCTTCCCTTGTGCTGGGAACCCTGCCAACAGTAAGAAGAGTCCCAACCCTTTGCTCCTTTGGCCTGGGAGCCTTCCATCCTCCACACTGAATCTAGGGGCACCAAATTGTGGTAATAAAGTTACTTTATTTATCAAAGGAAAGAACCTGTGCTTAATTTCACATAGGGAATTTGGTCAAAACAGGGTCATGTCTAGGACAGGAGCTATTACTTGGTGCAGATGGGTCCTTTTCTTGATAGCTGAGTTGATGGAGCTTCTTCAACAAAATGAGGAGTTTCTGGTCCAAAATTTTTCCTTGGGATTCTGCATCTTTTAGAGTGATCCGTTAGCACCGCCCCACCTCACCCCCCACCCCCACCGTGTGTGTGTGTGTGTGTGTGTGTGTATTTTGTTTTCTTTTTTTTTTTTAAATATAAAAAATAGAGAAGAAGTCTCCCTATATTGCCCTATATGCTGGTCTTGAACTCCTGGCCTCAAGTGATCTGCCGTCTTGGCCTCCCAAAGTGCTAGGCTTACAGGTATGAGCCACCGCACCCCTCCTAGTACCTGGATTTAAATCCTAGTTCTGCCATTTACAGGCTGAGTGCCTTGGACAGATAATTTAACCTTTTTGTGTCTCAGTGTCCTTATGTATAATATGGAGGTAATAATAGTATCTATCTAATAATGTTATTGTTGATAGATAATACATTTAAAGTACATTAAATCAGTGCCTGGCACAAAATGAGCACTCAGTGGGCATTAGCTATTCTTATTCTCATCTCATTTAATTTTTTGAGGAAAGCATTGCTCCCCCTATTTCTTGCTAAGGACACTGAGGCTCAGAAAAGCAAGTGTCAGAGCCAGTTTGCAAACCCTGCTCTATGTTGTTTCCAAATCTCAGGTTCTCTGTACCACTTCCTGTCACCCCTTGGCTGCCACCTGGTTGGCCTTGAGGCATCCCAGATAATTCAGCCTAAAGGGTTTGAAAAACATGAACTCAGAACATTTCAGAATAACAGAGCAACTGAGGCCTCTTGACAGAAGTTGAAACAATTAACCACTTCTTATTTAGGCCAACAAGAGAGGCTTTCTGCTCTTATTTCCTGTCATTGGAATGTTATGTTTGTAAACCGCATTTTTAGGAAGTCCCCTCCTCCCTACCACCCCCAAATAAACTTTCCTGTTCCTTTTTCTCCAGGAACTGACACTCACTGAAATTGGAATTTTGAACTGGGATAAACATCATACTTGTTTTATTGGGATGACTTCCAGGAACAGACCGTAGGCAGTGGCAGTAGGTGTTATTGCTGGAAGTGTTGCATTCGCGGTAGGAACTCTTCATTATGAAAGCTCATTTGTTGTTGCTTAAGGGATAGGATGACGTCCTTTGTTCACTGGGTCTCCTCCCAGCCCTGCAGTTAACCAAATTGATTCCACAGCCTCGCATGGACCTACTCAACTTGTATTTGTTAAACTCCTGTGTGCTCAGTATTGCGCAGGACCCTGTGGGGTAGGGAGGGGTCACACTAAGGGGTATAAAATACAACCTGTGCCCTCTTGAAGTTTCCAGACTTACTGGGGCAATGAGACGTTAAATGAGATATTTCAAGTGTGATTCCCAAAAGGTGTTGCAAACTCGGATGTCTTTAGGGCCAGGCAGGATTTATGACTGTCAGAAGCAGTGGAGTTTGAAATAATGGTGAGTGATGGGAGCTGGAGTGAAGTGGAGCGTGTAACACCCCACCCTCCCACAAGGTGTTCATCTTCAAATTCAAATCTAAACCAGCCAAAGGCTCTGTGGCCCACATAAAGCTGGTCTGAAGCTGGGTCTTGCCCAAAGCCACCAGTTTTGACTCCTGTTTAGTATTATAAAGTAATGATATTGATTTACAGTGAGGTTTGTGGAATTCAATTTCATTACTTTATAGTCAAGTCTCATTGATTGACTTAATAATATAAGGCAGTATCCGATTATGTACCAAGATACTGTTGCTTCTGTGTGTTTCAGGAGGTTAGAAACAGGTGGTATTGGGATTGGAGGCCAAGAATTTATTTTCAGTGTTTAAAAAATAGGCAGACCAGGTAGAGAAGAGATTTGGGAGAGTGAAGCAATTGGGGAGAGTGTAATGAAGCATGTGCGTATGGAGAAGAGGAAATGTCTTCCGGGGTATCTTCTGAAGTGTCCTAAATATTCAGGTGAGTATTTTCAACTTTGTGCTGTAGACAATAAGAAGCCATTAGAGTTTTGGAGCCAGAAAGCAAAGTATTAACCTGATGATCTTGTGCAGGATGGTTTGGGGGTAGGTAGAGGCTGGCAGTGGGGAGACTCTTGACAAAGCCTTTGAAGAAGTCTGAAAATTAGGGCAATAGAACCTGAACTGAGTAGGAGAGTCACAGGAAAGAGAAGGGCTGATTAGATACCAGGGCTGGGAAGACATCATGAGACAACTTATTTTAGGGGTGCTTAAAAACCTGTGGGTGTATGGGGGAGGTACCTGGCCCTTTTAAGGAAGAAGTGGTTAAGTCAGGTGGCCTGGGCTTGTTACAAAGTGAAGGTGAACTACTTAGTCAGCAGAATAAAGTATTGATGGAGAGAATAATTGCCCTGCAGAAATAAGGACACAGTGTCCTTCATTTTGTGGATTCATATTCTTCATGATGTGTGAGGCAAGATGAACTGAAGGACTAAGAGAACAAAATAGGAGCTCAAATGAAATCCTTTAGGGACTTTTGTTTTTGTGGTCTCTTTTTGGCCAGGGAGATAGAATAGGGAACACTCAGAATTAGTAGGGGGCGGGGTGGGTGTTTCAGAAGCAATGGAGGCCTTGTCTGGGATTTTGTTTCGTATTTTTTTAATCCCTCTGAATCTTGTTCTTATCGTGAAGGCCTCATGGTTGTAAATAGAATTTAGAGGATTATCAAAATACAAGTTGTTTATTCAAGAATTACTTGGGAAGAGAAAATGCAGGAGTACACCACGTCCAGTGATGCACGTCTGGACAGAGGCTGTCTTGGGTCACTCACTTCACAAAGAGGCATCACTGTTTACTCAGGGGCTCCCACCTGAGGCCCAGAGCAGAGGGATTCAAATAAATGGACCAACCTCTATAGACCTGCCTTGCAACCTCAAACCTTTTGGGGACAAAAGCAAGAAGAAATGTTTATGATCCTAGATTGTAGGGGAAATAATGGTGATTTTTAAAAACACAATTCCCAATCTGGGAAAGAGAGACTACAGAAAAGATTGATGAAATTGATTTTGGATAAATTCAGTTTAAAAAGATGGTAGAAAGGCCAACAAGAAGTGGTCAGTAGAAGTTGAAAGTGGGGATCTGAGATTTGGCTTGGAGATCAGTTTAGGAGAAACCAAGGGCAGCTGTAGATTTTGTGGATACGCATTGTTGTTAATCATCTGCGTAGAGATGGTAGTTGAATCCATAATATTGGAGGAGTATCTGGTGGAGAGAGAAAGACCAGAAGCATGTGAGCTTGTTCATTCATTCCACAGATATTTGAGGGGACCCTGTGTGTGTGGCACAGGCAGAGGTGAGACCCACAGCAAGGGAGCAGCAGGAGGAGGAGGTTACAAAAGTGATGGAAGAGTGGTGGGAAAGGGTCAGGTGGGGCAGAATCTCGTAATGTCTTGGAAGCCAAGGAAAAATAACTTAGTGGAATATAAAGCTAACCGATAGTGACAAATGTTGCAGAAGAGTAAAAATTGACGACTGAGAAAATGCCTTTTGGATTTCATGAGCAGGGCATCGATGACCTCGGAGTTTCAGGAGTGCTGTGGAAGCCCGACTGTAGGGGATTAGGTGTTTGTGAGTGGGGAGGAAATGGAGTCACAGCATAAAGAACAAAAAGCAGCCCCTAAAATTTTGTAAGAAAAGGAAAAGAGAAATAGGGTTCCAGTTTTTATTCTGACTCCCCATCCCTGGTTTTGGAAAAGAAAGGGATTTTGGGGAGAGTTAGGATTTGAGTGAAACATTTAAAGGTGATATGAGGGAGGGACACAATGATATTGTATACCATAAAGGAGGTGAGGCTGGGCAGCTAGATGAGATGGGAGATAATCTAGACATATTTAAAATTAATTTTTGCTAGAATGGGAAAACAAACAGGCAATTTGAGGGAGCAAATTTGGTTGTATCAAATAAAATGTTACGATTAGAAAAGATAAACAGCTTGTAAAGAGGTGACGATTGGATACTATCATGCATTTCCTCTTACTTTTTAGACATTTTGAAGCACTATATCTTAATAGTTAGGAAAAGACTTGGAATCATGTGAGTCCCAGCTCTGTGAACTTGGGCAAATTACTTAACCTCCCTAAGCCACAGTTTCCTCAACTGGGAAACAGACGGTAATATGACCTGCCTAATAGAAGTGTTAAGAAGAATGTGTGAGACTATGCATGTAAAGTATTTAGTACAATGCAGCATATAATTAGCACTTGGTATTAGCAGTGATTCATTTTTTCTTAAACCGCTTTATTCAGGTGTGATTGGCATACTAAAGGTGTACATATTTAGCATGTACAACTTGGTGAGTTGTGAAACCATCACCAAAGTCCATGCCATAAACCTATCATCTTCAAAAATTTCCTCTCACCTTCTTTATTAACTAATTATTTTGGGGGGTATGATAAAAACACAGTGTAAAAGCTACTATATTAGCAAATTTGTAAGTATACAATACGGTATTAAGTATAGCTACTATGCTATGCAGTAGATCTAGCCAATGATTCTTATCTGCTTTGAACATTTAGACCACCCCACACTTGAGTTATAATTAATATTTTAGTACTCCTGGCACTCTCTGCCTTATAAGGCCTGGTGAAGAACAGTGACACTGCAGCCAAATGGCTGAGCCATCTATTTGTTGTGTGGTCTTTGGGAAGTTGCTTAATGTTTTGTGCTAGTTTCTTCATTTGTAAAAAGGAGAGAATAATAGTACCCACTTTATGATGCTGTTATGAAATTAAATGAATTCATATTTAAGTGGTAAGAACACTGCTTGCCACATAGTAATTGCAGTGCCAACATTTGCTGAGTAAATAAAAAATGTTCTTCCTCTGTGTCTTTTTTTTTTTTTTTTTGAGATGGAATCTCGCTCTGTCACCCAGGCTGGAGTGCAGTGGCGTGATCTCAGCTCACTACAAACTCTGCCTCTAGGGTTCAAGCCATTCTCCTGCCTCAGCCTCCCGAGTAGCTGGAACTACAGGCATGTGCCACTACAGCTGGCTAATTTTTGTGTTTTTAGTAGAGACGGGGTTTCATCGTGTTGGCCAGGCTGGTCTCAAACCCCTGACCTCAGGTGATCCACCCGCCTCAGCCTCCCGAAGTGCTGGAATTATAGGCCTGAGCCACTGTGCTCGGCTTGTTGCTGTTTTTCCTTCTGGGCTCAGGACATCCCACTTGCTTGGGCACTCATCCTGGCAGGGAGGAATCTCAGAGGATACCTGCAGCTGTTAGGTCAGCACCTTAAAAGAAACTGGACCTTGATTTGCCTTAGAGTGTCATCTCTAGGAAAGGTAATGATGCCCAAGAATAGGGTAGTGACTGCCTGGATTGATATAGAAGCAAACATTTTCTTAGTGGCAAGAAAAGCAGACTAAATATCCTTGCAGGCTGAGTCAGCATTGTTTGCATGTCTAATTTTTTCATCAACGTCTGTGGCATGTTTTTCTAACTTAACTGTTCTCTTCTGATGGAGCAGAGAGCCTTGGGTTTGTGATTCATGTGAAATTGACACATTCTTTCTACCTTAACCTTTCTGGCTAAAATAGGAAATGGGAGGATTAGCTCCAAAGTACCTGAGAGGTAAAGCCATCTTGGCATGCTGGGAAGGCAGAAGCAGGTGTTGAGGATGAATCAGCCAGTGTCCCTCCATCGCCGACTGGTATTGCCTTCTTTTATCACATGAATTTATACAGTAGCACTTCTCTGACATCCGTCAGACTTGCCTAGTTTCCTAAAGACCTGGACAGGATAACCTCGGATTCATTTTGGAGAACCTTTATAATTTTTTTTAAGCCCTTGGCTCAGAAAGGCCTTTTGGCTGGCCTTTTGTTATTCTTGCCAAGCTAAGCTAATAGCCTTGGAAACACAACACAAGGGCTCTTTAAATAAAAGTTATGTTTGAATGCTTGGAGGAGGATCAAAGTCATCTTTAAAATGTGCATGCCTTGAGCTCTTTGTGAAGGCATGCTCATAAACTGGAAGGAGTAGTACCTTTCTCCAGCGACTGCCCTCCCAAGATGACTGAAGTCATTTCAATCTGTCTTACCTTCACCTTGGAAAAGGTAACTTTCGACGGGGCACAGACAAAGACAAAGCAAATCCTGGCTGGTGTTATATCTCCAGACCTCTTGCACATTCCCCTGCAGCCAGACCCTTGACCCTGAAATGCTCAGATGATGCAACTCTGTATCACATTCTCTGAAGTGCCCTGAAGCCTTGGTAATGGCTTTCCTGCGTTATGGAGGAACGGCAGCTATCAGAGCCTGCAGTCTGATGGGAAAACGCAGCTTCTTGGAGGGAAAATGGGGGACAGGCATCCAGATACTACTGCTCAGTTTAGTTGATTCTGCATTTAGTTCCAGGGTTATTTGCCTCCCTCCATTTTTTGATAAACAGTACTTTTGTGAGGCAATTTTCTCTCTAGGTAATATCCTGGAGTTGTCCCCATGGGGCTAGAGCTTCCGAGCTGCACGCTGCCGGGGCCTTCTGGAAACCAGTGGAATTTCTCTAGAAGAGGCAATGGTATTCCTTTCTCATTTTCTCCAGCCAGAATAATCAAAGGAATGTAAATGTTTATCTTGTCTTTTGGGGGTTTATTCATAACTGTTTTGAACTTGGTGTGGCAGGCCAAGTGGAGATTTGTAGATGAAACCATAAGTGTCACCCTAATTCTGGAGAGACACCTTCCAAATCACACATGACAGTGGTTTGCCCTAGTGAGGGAAGAAATGGGACATCAACTGTGTGGTTAGATTTCACTGCTTGCTTAGGAGTTTTGTGTCACTGTGCATGCAGCCTAGGCCATTGAGAAATGTCCTGATCATTTCCATCCCTGATGGATAACTTTATACACTTAGGTACACTCACCCAATTCCATATACAGGTCAATGTGTTGTTCCCAGCCAGGGATGGTGGCTCATGCCTGTAATCCCAGCACTTTGGGAGGCTGAGGCAGGCAAATCACCTGAGGTCAGGAGTTTGAGACCAGCCTGGCCAACATGGCGAAACCCTGTCTCTACCAAAAATACAAAAATTAGCTGGGCATGGTGGTGCACGCCTGTAATCCCAGCTACTCGGGAGGCTGAGGCAGGAGAATCACTTGAACCCAGGAGGCAGAGGTTGCAGTGAACCAAGATCGCAGCACTGCACTCCAGCCTCGGTGACAGAGTGAGACTCTGTCTCAAATATGTAAAGATATAGTTCCCAAAGCTAATTTAACAAGGCCTGCTTCTTCTTCTTTATATTATCTGGCTTTCACTTTAAAAATCTAAGATTGCAGAGAGGTACATTTCCTCCCACAGGGTATATTAAAAAGCTCCAGGTAGGGCCCTGCTTCCATCAGGTGAGGAGACTGTTTTTGAATAGTCACACAAGATTTATAGGCTGACTGCAAAAGTGAACTTCATGCTGGACTCTCATTTTCAGGACGTATGAAGGGGTGTTATGTGAAGGTACATCTCAGCTTCACACAGCCCAAGCGTCTCAAATCCCTGTCTGTGTCTCAGGGCATAGGAAATGACTGCAAACACTTATTTTTTGTTTACCTCCTACATGACACTTTATAGGAAAAATTTCCGTTTGCTACTCTTTAGATTAAAATGTCCCATTTCTGGAAGAGTTTCACCTTTATAGAATGGGGGCTGTTTACACATCTCACTAGGTTGGGTATACTGTTTGCTCTAAGAACTCAGCCAGCACCAAGTGGTAGGAGCTTCATTCCTTCACCACATCAGGGACACGGATCCTAAAACACTGGAAGAGCAATTGCATCTCTATGGATTACCCATGTTAATAAATGGGGGAGGGAGAAGGGTGTAGTTTTTTCCCAGAAGCAGGGGTGGGGAGAAGAGACACTAGCATTTATTAGACATAGTCTGTAACAGAGTCTTTGCTACATGCATTTTCTCATTGACCACTGAAAGCAGTCCCGTGAGGAAAGAATTTTTATTCCTATTTCATGGAAGAGGAAACCAAGGCTTAGGTTGTTGGCAAGGGACACAAAGCTGGTAAGGAATCAGAGCTGTGTGCATACTCATTGTATTCCATAGTCCCTTGCTGGGCAGTTGGGGAATACAGAATATCAATCCTGTTGCATAGAAGCTTCTAGCAGCCTTCCAAGGCTCCGAAGGATCACTTCCTGTCTCCTGTTCCAGGAGGGAAGATTCTTGAGCCTCTGCAAAGCAAACACTGCAGCCGGCCTACTGCCTGAGTATAAGCCAAGCACACTCCCCATGGCTCTTCTAAGAATCGGGGTGTGCTTTAATAAAGGGCCTTGTACCCACTAGACTAATAAAGATTTGCTGGAAGAATAAAGTCATTTGTCAGCTGATAACACCATTTCTCTATTCATGAGTAAACTCTAGGCAAAATCAAAATCACATGGAGACCCAGGGGCACCAGCTCTTCCAAACAAATATCTTTTTCTAAGGAATTGTGTTGTTGAGTATTTTCTCCCATGTTGTACACAAAGGAAACTACCTGGTATTCCTTTGGCCAGGTAGCAATAGGTATTTTTCTGAGGAGATAGGATCCTCTCAGTGGGAAATAGGGAGCTGTTCATTCCTTTGTTGTCTGTCACAGCAAGTAAGTCCATTGCCCCCTGCAGAATCCCCTCATGTCTGAGGTATTCTAGGCAGGACTGCACCATCCCATCAGAGATCACTCTGAACACAGCCATTTGTAGCTTGTAATCTTACTTCAGAGGGCAGGATTGGTCCTTTAGTGAAACCAAGCCACCATCATATTGAGAGGTAAGACTTTTTTTGTTGTTGTTAAATATAGGGTCTCTGTCACTCAGACTGGAGTGCAGTGGCGCTATCACAGCTCACTGCAGCCTCAACTTCCCCAGGCTCAGGTGATCCTCCCACCTAAGCCTACTGAGTAGCTGGGACTACAGGCACACACCATCACTCCCGGCTAATTTTTGTATATTTTTGTAGAGACGGAGTCTTTCTGTGTTGCCCATGCTGGTCTTGAATTTCTGGCCTCAAGCAATCTGCCTGCCTCAGCCTCCCAAAGTGCTGGGATTATAGGGGTGAGCCACTGCGTCCAGCCGACTATCTCTTACTGTAGTAACTTCTAACAAAATCCTACTTTCATCTCCACCACAAAATATGCATGCAGCTGTTCATAATGGCACTGTATTTCCGCCTTGTAATCCCATTGGCTAACATGAACAATCAGATTATCTTTCCTCAAGCCTCGCTTTTTCATTCTTGGGGTAAAAAGTTTTGAAAACAATAATCCAGCTAGGCACACTGGCTCACGCTTGTAATCCTAGCACTTTGTGGGGATGAGGCAGGGGAATCACTTGAGGCCAGGAGTTCAAGGCAAGTGTGGGCAGCATATTGAGACCCTGTTTCTACAAAAAATAGAAAAATTAGCTGGAGTAATGGTATGTGCCTGTAGTTCCACCTACTCAGGAGGCTGAGGTTTGAGCCCAGTAGGAGGAGGCTGCAGTGACCTGAGATCATGCCACTGCACTCCAACCTGGGTGACAGAGTGAGATTATATCTCAAAAAACAAACAAACAAACAAAAAACTGTGTAAAATCTAATTCAACTGATCATATCTCTGCCTTCCCACACCCATCCAAGTAAGTTAAAACAACAGATAACAAGAAGAAAAAGGCAGGGGGAAAGAATGAGGGAAGTGTTTATTGAGACTGAAATGGAACATTGTTCTCTTTTATGAGTTAACAGCAGTGTGTTAAGAGGCTGGTTACAAACTGACTCCAAAATGATAACTCGCAGCTCATGAACAGCTCTGCCAACTCTAGTGCCACTAATTGGGGCATCCTAGTAAGGGGTAGAACCATTTAGCCCAAGAGAAATTACTGATTCAATTTCATTTACATTTAGATTTATTTCTT